ACTTTATGACAATTTAAGGTTTTATCAAGTTTAACATTTGATTGCATATTTTTAGCCTAATTTATTGTCTGAGTCTACACTTGAAACTATACTTTAGCTCGTTCTTAGCTCGTTCCTCAAATTAAAATTACATTTCAATGCGGCGTGTCAAGTCACCAAGGGTCCAAAAGTCCCCTCATGTAGGTGTAACATGCCAGTGTACCAACAAGAGGCTATGATATACGTCACTAACAGTCATTTTTGAATATGAGATATGTTTGCCACTATAAAGTATAAACGTGTATGACCTTCAATTGTATTCTGATATGTGGCCGATATGATTCTGATATGCCGTCCGGTGAATCTGAAGGTACATGTAGCGGCAATTCATTCTATTCTACTTAAAAATAAACTGCTAATGAGATACCCTTTTTCACTATTGGTATTCCCCAACGCTCGAGGTATGCTGCTAATTCTAACGGAAAGAGAATATAAAAATACCCTTTGCATTCGTTTGACTTCACTTCTTAAAAGAGAGCTTCGTCTTCGTGTAGTTAAACTAGACTCTGCACGCAGGGTATATAAAAACGTCATAAGGGAAATATTTCATGTATTTGCTCTCAAATTCAAGAAACTGTAAGGATCACATGGTAATATTACAAGAAATTTTAATGAGCAAGTGATGCATGTACAACCAGTCACAGAATAAGTAACACCTCGGTAGGATAATAAAACATTATGCCTCTCTTGTACAACCCTTCTTTTATTTTTGGGGAATACTTCAAGTTCATCCGATACCCTGAAAGATGCCCTTTCCTTTGGATGGCCTCTAAGTAATGATGTCCACAAAATAGTTAAGGATTTTGTTTCTACCTGTTTATTTCGCTTGATTATCTGTTTCTCATACATAACCGTAACCAGGGGGTGCTATGGGTGTGAACACCCTCCGCCCCATAACAAATTGAAATAGAAACGTTAGACAGAAGAGATTTAAAATGTTTTTGTTTGTTGAAGCTTCGAGCTCAATTTTCAAGTTTTTTTGAAAAACTCAACTTTTGTAAAAATCAAAAAAATCTTTTGGCTTGTTTATGGCACGATCGCATCCCCTCTGACTGAAAGCTGGCTACGCCCGTCATATATGTGCAGACGATCAAATGATCATATCAAATCATTACAATATATCTTCAAGAACAAAAAAGGACTTTTGTAGATACTAGCATTTATAGATAGTCTCAAGCATCTTTCAGTATCAAGTGATGTCGGACAGACAAAATTCACTATCAAAGTCCATGGGTGTATTAAAGGGTCAACATACGTTCGAAAAGCTGCAGCCATTAAACAGAAGACACAAAAATAACCAAACTTTAATTCTAAATTTTGAATTATAGTACAAGGGATTTTTTTCAAATTCAAAGATCATTGAATATTCAAATATGAATTAAAGGAATCTTTGTCAATCTAAAGATTCTGGCAACAGTTGTTATGGAGATTCAACTGGCAGTAAACGCTGTCTTTTCAAATTATAAACTATGTAAGCAAATAGTAATAATCTATAACATCTATCAAAACATTGAGATGCCCGAAAGGTGTAAATGGTTGCGTGACCATGCCAATTAAATAGGTTTTAATTAAAAACACATCAAAAAATTGCAAAAGTAAGACATTAATAAAGAAAACGAATATGTATACTTGTAGTTTGATGAGATAGAATTTGTAGAACAATTTTAAAACTTCCTCAAGCAGCTTAAGCTAACATTTGAGGTAACTTTTGAAATACTCACCTTTGCTTGCTCCGCCCCTTTAGGTCCACGGCTTTCCTTTTGCATTTTTGATAGTTAAGTCTATTTTGTGATTATTTCTCATTTAGACTTACGGGCGCCTCAAACAGCGACCTACAATCTAATGTCCAGGCTCTTTTGCGGAATAATCATTACATAACACACAACAAATGCCGTCTTCATGCCATGATGATGTCAGTTCGTGGTTTGCGTCACGCTAAATGATATCTTATGACTTAAGTCCAAAGTCTAGCGTTGTTTTTGCAAAGTTTCTTAAAATAGTTAATATTTGTCTAAAAAGGGTCAATCAGAAGGTTTGTCCTAAAACATTGGTGAATACGAAACAATGAAACAAAATGATACATATTTAATTAACCCATGCCATTTGACCACAGTACAATCATATCAAAGGAACATTTGTTTTTGGTCATTTTGGATCTTTGATATGATTCCAGTGTGAAAGAAATTATGGTCCCCTTTTTAAACGGCCCTTATTGGCCCTGATTGCGTATATGTATGTATGTATATATTTATTGCCCTTTATATAAAGGAGATACATGTATACAAATTATGTTAAATTGCAATTGAAAATAATCACTATTTACAAACAAACAATGTCGTTGCTTTTTAACTGACGACGACGCCTAGCTACCGCGTAGACGCACGCCGCCGACCAAGATTGGCCTAACACCTAATTGTAACGTAATTATAAAAAAGTAACTATATTTTACAAACGCTCATTGCTTTGTTGTTTGTTTTGGTTTTTTTTTGAACCAACGACGACGCCTAGCTACCGCGTAGACGAACGCCGTAGGCCTAAATCGACCTGTTACCTAACACTCTTGAGATTAATCAAAAAATGACATTATGAAGCTGCATTTTCTATAAAATTAAAAAGAAGACATAGCATATATCATCGTACCTTCCCCAAGGTCGGTACTGCAGTACTGTATGAAAGTATAGATGCTTTCAATATGTTGTAGGCTAGTAAAATAAATATACAATTTATGTTAATTAGAGGTTGGTGGTGTTGCTATATGGTGCAATTCTAAATTAGTATGTAAAGTAAATGTACATAAATATAAATACAAATATGCGAGTAAAACCAAAAATGTACAGGCTGCTTAAGAGACACAATCGTTTGTTGCAAAAACGTCAGGCTGCCGCGTTGACGTTGCAACTACCAATCAACAAAAAGAACAAGAAAGCATTGCTTATTATTGTACCTTCCCCAAGCTTAGGACTGTTCATCCATAATAGTTAGATATTAACTTAATTTCAGGGAGAGAGGATAGTCCCCTGGTCGGCTCATGTACCTCCCTTGAGGGCCACCCTCCTCCACTGAGTGAAGTTACATTAAGTGTATACGTTTGTTAGATATCGCTGACGGCACGTATATTGTTGCATGACTATACGTGCAATATCTTTTAGACACTCAAGTGTTTGTTCGTTTGTAAAATGCCATTCTTCCGTACCAATGCCAAGGAGGTTTTTAACATTCATTTGGATATCCCATTCATAACAATGAGTATTAAGTTGTTCTCTGAATATGACATATTCATTTGAAGGGCATTTAAGTAAAAAATGCTCCACATCTTCTTTTTCGTAGGTGTCGCACAATAAACATGACAGTGTTTTATTCTCGCTACCCCTATATTTGGAGTTAAGCGAATGTTCATCCATAAGTAGTTTCACCATTATTTTGCACCCATTAAAAGCAACAGGAAAACGTCTTGCAACATTCCACCATATAACTGGCCTCAGTACCTCGAAATTACCCATTCTAAAATAGCCTAGTCCCTTGTACATGATCGATTTAAAGAATGTCGCTTGCATTTGAACCTTTGTTATTTGAGTGAACACAATGTTCTTCCACCTACTTTTGGGAATAATAGTGTTACAGTATAGCATATTTAAGATAATAGGGGAAAGGGTTGTATTTAGGTCATCATATAAATCAATGGAGAGTAGGACCATAATTTGAGAGGACCTACTACCCTTTTACACCGGACTTGGCGTAAAAAGGTTTATGTTTGTTGAAGTTTGATAAGGTTTACTTCAGAATGTATTCGGAAAAACAGGTTCATTTCAGACTATTTGACCTTCATTTTTAAACCGTCGATTGACGATTGACGGCGATTCGGCTGATTTGGGGATTCAGGGGACTGAACTTCCATTACATTCTTTAATCTACATCTTTATTCGGATTGTTTTGGAATTTAGGGGACTGTTGTAAAGAAACTTCCATGGAAGTAATTTAATGTACTCGTCATGTCGAGTCCAAGCTGTTCGGATTCTCCCGGATTCTTAAACTTTCATTAAAATAACCAATTTCGACTAAATCGGTTACGGTGTTTCGCTATGAGGTGATGTTCATTGAAATGGTTTGATCTACTTGTCATTCCGACGATTCCCGAATTCAGATTCGGATCATGCTCATTTATTTCATCCGTATGCTAATAAATTGCGAATATTGGGATGGGATCATATTCCAAATATTGAATACGTAATATATTCCAATAGCGAAAACTCTCTCTCAAAAATGCAGAAAGAAAATTAGAACTGCGTGGTTATTTAGAAACACAGCATATAAGGTATGAATAAAATCTACAAGTGTATTGTATTGTATTGATTTATTTCCTTCATTATGAAGATTTACAACATTAATAAGCAGCAATTTACATTATATCAAAATAAAATTATAATAAGAAAACTATTTATAGTATCATAGTATGTACAGATGTGTGACTTTCTTTTAAAAATATAGGTAGATGATCTGTACTACCAGTGCAGTATTATTCTAAACAAGTGTTGGTGAATCTGTACATCATCATATTGATGTATGTTGCACATATGTTAAGCAATTTTATTGATGTGGCATCATCAATTGTATGCAAAATATCGGAGCGTCCTCCAAGGAGAAATTCTAGGATTATGTCATCTTCACTGTTTAGGAGTTCACATGACTGATGCACAGAGATGCTATTTATAATATTTTCATACATTTCATTTCTTAATGCAATTAAAAATTGACATTCTACTATCATGTGTTTGACAGTATCATTGGTGGTTCTACCGCACCTCAGACATTGCATTGTTTATTTTATGAGAAAAAACAAGTAGCATAAAAAGTATCATCATCACAGTTGTGAGTTGTGACTGCTCTCTATAAAAAACTTTGTCTAATCTATAGGCGGTCTTACCTCTCAAAAGCTAAATAAATTAACACTAATATTTTTCATCCTAAATTTTCATTCGTTTATATGGTGGAGAACATGTAGTCTATAGAGTTTATTATTTTATAGACATTTTTATTAACGTTATATTACAATTTGCCGATGATTTAGCGAAAATATATGGCAATCATTGGGTCAGAGTCACCACTCGAAATCGTAACTTGCGCAAAACCATTAGCATTTACAGTGATAGTTTTGCCAGTACATGCTCCAAGGACATCATCACCAGAGATGATATCACAGTACACACCACCAGGCAAGCCAGTCTGGAGCCACTCGTTCATGTCATAGTTTTCGTTGTTCATAGCCAAAAAGCCGATGTTTCCCCGAGAGAAAGCTATCATGTTTTCGCCGTTGTCCCACCAGTTCTGGACGACTGCGTTGATAACAGCATTGTGGAAATGAACCATGTTTGTAATCTGTCTCCACCTAAAAAACAATATATTTCAAATATTTCAACTAATTTTAAATTTGAATGAGCGACCCAAGGTGTTTGTCTGATGATGAGGATTTACACTAATTAGGTGTAGTAATTCAAATAAACGCTCGTGCAAATACTACTTATTCAAAGATACCTATGCTCACAGATCCAGTCTCCGTTGAAACAAACCGCGTAATCTGTATCCCCGGCGCCGTTATCAGGAGGACCAACCCAATCATTTTGATCCGTTCCACCAACAATGTTCCTTGGCCAGTTGTAACTGCTCATAATACGGGGGTAACCATAAGGCCAAGCCAGCAGAAATGCATTCGCCATCTTATACCACCTGTCTTCAAAGAAGGTGAGAATGGAACCGAATCCTCCTGCTCCATGGCCTCTTTGGTTGTCATGGTTGTCAACAAAAGAAACTGCATCCACTCCTGACATGAATCCCCAACCTTCGCCAAAGTTTTTCAAATAGGAAATCTTCTCGCCATTGTTTTTACGAATACAGTCTCCGAGATTTTTACCATATTTGAATTCGGTAACACGCCCCATACTCGTGTATTCGCTTGCTGTGATTGGCTCGCCACCCATATCAATCACCTCTTGGTAGATGAACGGTTTCGTATTAGAAGGAAACCAACGCGTATTAAGATTATTAAGACGATTGAAGATGTTCTGCATATCTCCGGGCCACATGTGTTTCGAAGCGTCAACTCTGAATCCAGCTACGCCGTATCCCACCAATTTGTTCAAATACTCCGCTACTTTGCCTCTTACATAATCTTTAGCCAATTTTAGATCTCTGAGACCCAACAAGCGGCAGTTCCTGACTTGTATTACATCCTGGTAGTTTTCGATTTCGAGAGAACTTGTCGAACATTCGTTAGCACCATTGAAGTCCGTGCTACCAAAAGGGACTGATGGATAATCTAGACCGTCACCACTCCATACACTGCCATCTGACCCGACACCGAACCCACCTCCTGTCATGTGGTTGATAACTGCATCAACATAGACCCTAATTATCGAATATGAAATAGCGGTTAGATGTGAATAAACAAAATAATATTTGATAATTCAACTTGGAGACCTCAATGTTAAAACAATTTGTTGTTCAAAGTGGAGCAACACACTAGTTGCAAGTTGCAACTGTCATCTTCCTCTCAAAACGTCACCTTGTTCATAAAAGAACCACAGATGGACATTAGATGATAAGCCATTATCTACATCCTTGTTGTAATGAGTTACTTTGGTTGTCGTGTTTTAAACGTGAGGCTCAACCAAAAGTTAAGAAAACAATAGAATCACCTGACACCGACATCGTTACACCTGTTGACCATATCGAGGAACTCAAGTTCGTTACCACTACGACTAGTCATCGAGTAACTGACGGGTTGGTAACGCTGGTACCAGGGACGCCATGGATCATCAATTACTCTGTGCTCGTTAGGGGGTGAAACCTGATAAATAACAACTATTTTTATCAGACAGTATATTTGTACTAATTGTAGACCGATTGCCTTCCTTTTCTATGCCACTTCAATATAAAAGTGACCGGGACGGAACAGGACTAATCATGATAATGGTCTGTTTTTCGAGAAACAAGTCGATGAACTTACACACTCGAACACACTCGGAGATTCATCTGACATACTGTATCTGACATATTTATTAAGTTTACATGCTTTTTAATGTATATATTGTAGAACCCTGGAGGGTTATAATATACAATTATTGACCTCTCCAGAGGTTTACTGTCAAAATTATATCCCGAGACTGTAAACCGAGACCGTAGGTCGAGGTTTACAGTCGAGGGATATAATTTTGACAGTAAACCGAATGGAGAGGTCTATAATTGTTTTGTTAGTCCGAAGAATATCTTAGAAATTTCTGACCCTTGAAGTTGACTTGAAGTTGGATCCAGACCCTCGAGACGTTCATGTTGTATTTCAGTATATCGGCTGTAAGTTCACTCAATGGAGTCAAATTACTCTCCTGGGCGAAGTCCACTAAAAGCTTTGTACAAAGTTTTAGATTTTTCTTCGTATTTCGACTGTCTTTACTCTCTAAGAGACTAATAATATCCTCATCTTCAACATTTTTGAAACGGCTAGTGCTAGCGGCGGCCATTTTATCGTCTGATAATGACGTCATTTTAGTGGAATGCTGGGAATATTATTCACCGGCAATGCATTGCGCGGTGTACAGTTAAAATTATTCACTGCTCGTTGACCAATCAAAATCGAGTATTTCAACTGAGGTACTAACAATGGTACTTATTCACTGTTACCTTCAACTTTTTTCTTTTCTTAAAGTGTTAATCACGCTTCTTATTTAGTCACCGCATTTACAAGAAACCGAACGGGATGGAGATGAAGGTGTCAAAACTCACCAATCTTAAAGGGGCGTGAATTCAGTACACACACATACTTGGGTTAATGCCAACAATATTATGCTTGGTCACATTTGCTCCGATTTTCACTACGGCGCCCGGCCGATTGAGTATTTTGTTCAAAATTGAAAACAGTATTGAACAAAACACACAATCGGCCGGGCACCGACCGATGGATCGGATCTAACGTGACCCAGGCATTAGAGAGCGGTGACTGTAAGTACTAATCATATTTGAATAAATAAATATTCATATCTAAATAAATTGGTCACAAAAAAAACATGGTCAAATCGTCAGCCGAGAGTTGAAAGTGTGAATGCTACGGATGAGGACAGTATGGACGTCGATACAGAGGAAACACTCACCTGGACAGCACAAAATCCGTTCTCCGAGAGGAAGCGTTCACATTCATCAGCAACTGATGCGTGTGTCCATTCAAACAAATGAACCATAACATCAGACCCACTCGGGCAGTCATATGTACCGTAATATTGACCGCGTATCAAGGCAAAGCATGCAAAGAACACCAGGAAATACATTTCCTTTTTTGAATAAAATACTTATTATTCACTCTATACCTAATCAACAGTTTATAAACCATGGCTATTGTCAGGTGCGTGATATCATTCAATGTTTTATTTATTGTTTTATGGTTCTGGGTTATCTATATTGGACCAGATATTCAATTCCCAATGTGGAGTTTGAAGTTGAATCAACATTTTTTAGGGTCTGTTTCGTGCAAAATAATTATTGTTGTCACGATTCAATGTGACTCGTGTCTAGTTAAAAGCCCATGGAGGTGTGAATGTCAAATACGTACAAAAGTCCAATAATAGGCAGGGCCTACAATCACTCTACCATACCTTGCATTTAGCGTTCATGAGCAACCGATTTGGCTTATTAGTAATGATTATGTTATTTGTTTTTATTTGTCTGTTCCTTATGAATGGTTTATCGGAAGACTGTTAGATATTAATAAGGTACTTGCAAAAATAAACTAAACAATACAATTAGACAAACAGAGTATCTTATGCATTTCTAGGGGTTAGGCATAGTAGAGTGACAATTGCGTGGCCATATTCATCATAGGGGCCGACATAGAGGTTGCCAAGGGATGCCTCCATGATAACTTTTGCTGAATGAAACCGAATAGCTCACAGGGGTTAAGGACTCGGAGTAGTTATCAGAAATGTACACCAAACAGAAAATGAAACACCATGTGGATTTTAGAATTTTTTGAAGTAAGATAACAGAATTCTGCCGTTTGATCTTCAGTCAGTTGAACTACTCCAATATATCATTTGCATTGCCAGGATCACAAAGGTCATGGTCAAAATGACCATTATCATGCTGACATAGCTTTTTCAACCCTCTGAAAATGTGACTATCATTTAAAGCAATATTTTGGGCACATTTTTCGAACATGAAAATTCAAAATATTCTGTTCAGTGACCTTTCGGAAATGACCATGACCATTGTGATCCTGGTCATGTAAATTATACATGGGCGTAGTAAAACTGATTGAAGGTTAAGCAGAACGCTGTTCTCTTAGTTCAAAAAATTCTAATCCACGTGATTTTTTCATTTCCTGTTTGTTGTAGATTTCTGATCACTGACCCCGAGACCTTAAGTAGATGACCCTTTGGAGGAGCATCACTACGTACATTAACACCATTTCCATCTAATTTTACCCTGTCTTGAGGATGGTAGTTCTGCTTACATGGATTGAGGGCCCTGCTCTAGCGTCCTAATCTAACCCACACAAGAATTGACCACCTAGGCAAAAGCCGGTGAGGTTCTGGACCAACAAGATATCGCTTCCTGGCTTCAGCTGCTACAGCAAACTTTCCTGACGACGGAGTCATCTGTATTCCCCTTTGGGGCAACAAGGACTGTAGAGAGAAAATTCGAATTTTTTTATTTTTCTGAGCTATCAGGTCAATATTTGGCTTAACATCTCCTTTGACATAACTATTTTCTTAAAATGTTTGTTTAAACTATCAATTTCAGCATTAAGAAGTGTAAATTCAGTTCAAAGCTCCTTTAAAGAGAGCCCCCCTTATATATTTTTAAGATCCACAACGTTTCAAGAGGAATATCAAATGAAATAATGTTCATCCAGGATGTTTCTTTGTAGAAAATGAAAATATATGCTAGTCTTAATGAAATATCCAAACTCAAATATATTTTGACACTGGTCTATGATTGTTGAATACCCTACCCCCCCCCCCTGCACTTATTGTTGCACCGTTAACAAACTCCGACTGTAATATTACACTAAGTTAACAAACTTAAAAACTTGTTTGGAACGCCAAAATTCTGAGATACCGATGAAAAGATGGCAGAAGTGAAGTTACTTTTATGTGCCACAGGTTCACTGCAATGCCATCTTTTTATTGTCAAAATATAGAAGAGGCATAGATATTCTGGTACAGAATCCATAGCATAAAATTTACATTTTATTCATCAAAATATTGATTTCTTTCAAACTAATTTTCAAATCACTTGTATGAATGTAATAATGAGTTGAGAAGAATAGACACTGAACATTTAAAATCTGATTTTCCCCCACACTTTAAAAGTTTTCCTGTGAAACACCAATTAGGACAACGGTGCGTTACGGTGTTTTACTGTGTGTATATTTCTGCGCAGGCCAGTGCGTTGATCTACATGTATCTACTTCCGGATATCAAGCAAAATCTCTTGGTGCGGTTTTGTTGATTTTGTTGCGTTTATTCTGCCAATATGGCGCAACCCGGGGGTCAGGGACTAGTTCGGCTGAGGAGACACAATACTGGCATACCATGGGGGTTTCGAATGCATGGAGGACGAGAGTATGGCCACGTCTTGTACGTTCAACAGGTAAGATACTACAACTTTAAAATCTTTTACCCGGGACTTTTTAAATTTAATTACTACTGAATGAATGCTCCAAGAAGTCAAAACAATGGTTTTATAACTTGGAATTGAATACTGATCGATAAACTGATCTCAAATCAGCGAATCAGGAAATGAATGGCTGACGGTATCCTCTGGGTGTGGTCGTAGAATGTTAGTTTTTGTATGTTTGGTAGATATGCATGTTCTTTAAGTAAAAAAATCCATTTTTTGCATTGAAATACTCTTTAATTCAATTAAACCAGCCATTAACCAAACATCCACAGCTGACTATACTACACGGATTATTAATTAACAAGAACATGCACACAGTACTCCACTTCACAAATAATACGAGTAACACATATTTAGGGTTTACACGAGCCGGAGCATATATGAAAGTGATATATAATTAAATCGTTTGTAACCAAAGCCTTGATGACCAGTATCCATTTGAGATGAATTGGCTTGCTTGCTCTTTTGAATGATATGTATGTTTCGAATAAATTCTGAATGAGCTATCAGATTCAAACTATTCAAGCTTCTATGGTGGTTCTATGTTGGATTATGATGAAAATCGTCATTTATGTCTTTGGTCACCAGGGCAACGCAGTAATCTTGACGATGTCAGGACAATGATCAACTTCAACTCCTAATCTCTCTCTCCCTTGATCATGGATCAAAATGATAAATAATGATTTTTCAGATATTTTCATTTTCACATACTGTTGCAAGCGTAATTTACTGGCTAAATACTTATACTCCAACTTTACTTATAGCTAACCCCTAAGTAACCTTGATCACCCCTTATTTACACCTTATATAAAGCATACATAAATAAATATTTGCATTCATAGTCCTCATTTCAAGACTGGCACTTAACGAGGGACAAAAATCAAAGCTATATGTATAATTGGCATATTGTACAGAATATGAACGACTTTGGCAGCTTTTATTAATCCAGGTAGCATCACTTTTGGGTTATATCAGTTGCAACTAGGTGCCATATTTGGAATGTAATAGGATGCTAGAGTATTAGGCTAACCTAAGCTAGTGATAAAAATACTGTACTGGATAGCTAAAGCAAAGCAGAGAGTACGTTTAGTGTGTTGCATACAGTGAAATCTCTATATCCGAACACCTCTCAAATTCGAACATCTCTCAATCGAATGTGAACTCTTATTCTCAGTCCAAATTTTGCTATCTCCCATAAATCACGTATTAAGAAAACCTTGAAATGTGAACACCTGCTAATCCAAACACTTTTAGCCGGTCCCAGTGGCGTTGGGATTAGATAGGTTTTACTGTATTTGCTCCGTGGATTGGCAAACTTGAGCCGTTTTTAGAGTACACTCAAATCTCTTGAGCTGAATTCCATGTAAAGCTGGACAGAATATAGTTAATAATTAAAATAGATCTGTTTCTGATTATGTTCGAGACATTCATTATAAAGTACTTATCACAACCTATCTGTTATTTAGAGCCATGGATTGAGAGTAAAATAAGGAGAAATAATTTATTGCTTTTAAATTAAATTAGAAACCCAGTATACAGGCCGAAAGACTACTCAGAAATGTTAGATGTGAGTTAATATATAAGCGAGTTCAATTGTCGTTCGTGTAGAAAAATCTATATATGCTGTATATATATTCTACCTTTTGTTTACAAAACGAATTTATCATCTACTAGATAGTAGTCTTTTTGTCCTAGATTGGTGTTTTAATGAAATTTAGTACCTTTTCAAATAAATGCCCAAATGGGCGTTTATTCAAACAAACATCTTTTAATCATATAGAGACTAGCATATCGTTAATACGCAAAGAGTCCCCATAGAGACTCTGCAAAGTCCATTTTGCATACGATTCTATAGTATTTTTGATAATTGTGTTTCATTTCTTTTTATAGTCATTGCTTATTTGAAGTTTGAACTTGAACAATTTCCTACAGTTGAGATATGATTGAACTATTTTTATATTTTCTATGAACAATTAACGTATAAAACGTACAGTTAAAACTGTTCAAGTATAGGATTTCGAAGTAATATGTCAACATATTTCTTTACATACAAAACTTAACTTGACATGTCCCCATATAAGTTCACATATCAAATCGACGTTGGACAGATCGTGGCCAAAAGAATCCATGCATGTACGTTATTGAAATAAGCGATCTGCTTTAGATTGGAGAAATGATTACATTTCAATGCTAAACATTTTGACAACAGCAGTATTAACAACATACAGTTCGTATTTTGTATACGTATTGATATAGCAATGACTTGATTAAAAAAAATTATCAACCGCTAAATGTTAATGTTAAAAAGTGTACCGCACCTTGAATACTTGCAAATACTTGTAATTTACTAAGTCATCATGATAACCATGACATCTCATTTCTTCTCAGGTGAAACAAAAAGATGCTATGATTATCAGAATGATTATAAGTGACGACCTTGCTTGTCTGGATAGCTATTATATGGTTCAATCATGATCTGGTTCAAATAATCTATGATTGTCTCTTTATTAGGTTAAGGCATTTTGTTGATAATCTCATGGACCTGAAAGATACAAAAGCAACATACATTGTACTTTGAGGTTTAGGACACCAAGCTTGTATTCGCGAATGTAAGTAACGTCTGTCGGCTACTTGATTAACCTACTATCTTATGGGCAACTAATTTAAATATGAACAGTACTTGCCACTATTGGTTTGGTCATAAAATAGTAGGTCGATCCGGTAGCCGACAGCCGTTAGTTGCATTCGCGAATACAAGGTAAGTAAAACCGTCCGCAAACTATATCCTACTTTCCCTTCCCATTTCGTCTTCTAAACATCTAAAGATGCGTAGGGAATACGATCTTAAACTGAGTTAGCTAAAATGAAGCTGAAATGAGTCGGAATCGGGGGATATTTTAAGTTTTCCTCATTTTGGAGCCCCGATTTACCCATTTCCGTGTGCTACTGTATTGAATACAAACTACTGTAATCGCATTCTTAACTAGATTACCATAAAGCTCAGATGCTATGGAAATAATTATATCAAGATTACATAAGCCATAATGTATAACCTTTATCCTCATCGGTGTAAGAGGTGATTTTGAAATGTATGAGATGTTCCATAGCACACATTCAGGGTATTCAGGATACAACTGATCCCATAAACTTCTTCTGCTGACGGAAACTGTTGTTCTGACGTGGCCTCAACGATGTAGTACGAGGGGTGATCCAAAAGTCTTGGACGCCCCGCTCTAACTTTGCTATTTCTTAATATAATTACATGAAACTTTCAGATAATAAAGATCAACATCTTAACAACTTTGTGTATGAGTTTCAACAGAAACTAATATATTTTAGCTACTTTTCTAAATATTTTTTGATACCGGGTCCCTGCCACCCGGAACGGTATTTAAATATAGCAAATCACGTCACAACTGTTATAATATGGCAAATAATTTAGGTGCAGTTGCACAACCTAAAACCAGTCGATATGAGAGAATTTCCTATTTTCAGTCTGAGTGTCATCTGCCATTATCATCTTCATATATTAAGACCTACTTTTCAACATATTTTTCACGAATTTGAACACATTTTTCATACCGCTTTACCAATGAATGAAAGACACTTATGAAACGGCCATTGCCTATGTGATACAACTGCTGCTGGAGTGCCACTCTAAACCTTATCTAATGAGTAAAAAACATTTTATTCCAACCCTCCTTTCAACTTGAGGAAAAGGAAGAAAATCACACGGAGCCATATCTTGACTTTATCGTGCATATGGTAGCTGCTCAATGTCAATAATAGTGAAGATATATTGTAGTATTCTTTGTTCCACTTTGATTTCTTTCATGTCCTGCATTTCAGCAGCCATCTTGGAGCAAAAATGACAACATAATGAGTGTTGATTGTCTAATGTCATTTTCTTAGAACTTGACATATACGGCCATTGCCATATGTGACATTATGATTAAAACATAATTAATTGGTTCCCTAGTAACAAAGGAAGTAGACTAACATGGTTTAACATTCAAAATTTAAGGAAAGATAGTGGTCAAGACTTGCAAAACCAGTCAAATAGCGGCAACATTAAAGGCTGAAAGTTGCCATGTGCGAATACCGTTCCGGGTGGCAGGGTCACTATGTTAATAACTATCAAGAAAACTACATAAAATATATCATTTCACCATGAAATTAAGACACAAAGTAGTTAGATCATTGGTCTTTATTATTGGAAAGTTTAAAGTAATTTTATCCAAAACCAACAAAATGAGAGCAGGGCGTCCAAGACTTTTGGATCACCCCTCGTATATGTACAGACTATAATTATCATATACTCAACACAACCACCTGGTTGTATTATGTCTTCAATCGCCTAGATTTGCAATGCTTCCATGTTATCGCTTCATAGGTGATGTATACCTAATCTGATCTTTGGTTAAATCTGTCTATGATGCAGTATCCATCTTATGGAACAATTTCTGAAATGAGATCGTCGATCAAGCGTAATGTTATATTCTCCATCGCGATAACCGCGCCCGGGCCTTTGTCTTTATCCCTCTAAAGTGCATCGCGATAACCGTGTCCCTTTGTCTTTATCCCTCCAAAGTACATACAAAGTAGATAAAATTGTTGATATAACAATCCCGGTGGTTTTGAATAATACGAGTATGTTTAAAAGTGATCATGAATTTCTATCGTATCCATTCCGATCTCTCAGACGCGCTCTTATATGTAAAGAACATCGTCTTAATCTATTACACACGCCGTTTATTTCTGAATCTTGTTCCAGGTGTCTCCAAATGGATTAGGTCACAAAGCCGGACTGAGACCCGGGGATGCCATCCTGCAAATAGGCCGATGTCCTGCTCAAAATATGTCCCACCAAGAGGCCAAAATGGAGATCATTCGGGCAGGCAACGAAGTGGACTTTATAGTTGAGAGGTACGTATAAACTTCATTAGGTAGTCTAGGCTTGCACAAAGTTAAGTCTCAACTGTAAGTAAACCTGCACACGTCGTTCAAAAATCCCCTATCCGACTTTTAACTGTGGGGATAACAGATAGATTGTATGGACCAATTGCAGACCTCAAAAGTGAGATCATCCTTGTCATTCAGGCCATACCTGCTGAGGAATGCATTCGGGTCATTGACAACTGTGCAGGTTTGCCTAGAGTGCAATGATGGCCAAACCTGAAGCATGTTGTTGGTCATAAAATAAGGTGGAAGGAAATTGAACGATGTACAAATGTATCATATATCGGGGAGTAATTTATTGAAATGACATAGATATGAGGACAATGCATGGTTTCCGTTTTAGACCACCCTGAAGAAGGGAACAGATCTGTGTATGTATAATATGTACATGATCTAAAGTGGGGATTGGCATTCTATTAATATAATACTCTTCACATATTTCTGTTTTTTTAGCTAGCAATATGACGAGAAAAGAACTGATAAATTGTCATAATTTCTCACAATGAGTGCTGGTATTGTATTCCATACCTACTGAGGTTCTAGGTACATAACGAGCGAAAATATATAGTGTATCTAGGGAACTATCGCCAAGGTCCGGGACAGGGATGGATACACGCTGTATCCATCCCGGTCCCGCTCCTGAAAAGCGAACTCAATTTACGTTTTACTCAATTTAGAAAATAACGATTATATTTCAAACTTATGCTCTATATTTTAAATTTTTAAACCAATTCATTTATCTTCTCCAACAAATAAATGCGTAAGTACGTTTTTGAGTTTTGGAACTTTATGAGATATAATGTATTTAGAGCCTAAGTAGGTATAGAATACATAAGGGATGTGTACTGGGAGGTTTTTTGGATACAGGGTTTATCCATACACGATATGCAAGACTGTTTTGTTGTCCTTTGTCAATAGGCAAATGTTTCAGGAAACTACCACTTCTTTTTTAAATATTTACCTTTATATGCTCTCATTTTATTGTTTTATCATTTTTCTCATATTCACCATAAAAGAGAGATAGACGTTCCATGAGATAGTGTCCCATATTAGGGGGCACGAGGGTCCGTAATGGTCACCTATAAATAAGGCGACAAAACCACAGACAAAATCCCCGTACTTTTACCCATTTAGGCAGTGTAATGGTATACAGAAGTAGTACACAACGCTCCAGGAGCATACATTTGTAACACAGGACCTTTACTTTCAGGGGAGTGGTTAACGTCCCACAACAAGGCCAGGATGCTCCAGACTCTGCCCAGCCCCGGACTGCTGTCGAGGAACGATCACAGTTCCGTCCAGAGCCTGCACCAAGTGAGCCTCAATCACAGTCTAGATCTTTCAAACTATTACAATTGTCGTTGACGACGGCAGAACCACAGGGTAAGTGTTGACTTGTACGAAGCCCATATTTGTAGCTATTTTGCTAAACTGGTACATTTTATGTTTTAATTCTTATAAGATCTGTTTGTAAATAGTACAAATATTTAGTATCAGTTTAAAATGACTTAATAACTATATTATAATGATATATGTAAAATATATTTGTACATTTCAATAACACCATTTGTAAGGGGGTGGCTTAAGGGGGAGTGGGGAGTGGGTAGTGGAAGCATTGCATAGCTGGATTATGCTTGTTGGCAACTAATAATGCTGCTATATGTAGAAGTAGCTGCCTCTTAGTTGCATAGAGCATTACTGATAAACTGTTAAAATATGAATATTTTAAATAAAGAGATCAACAAGCGATGATTTAAACACTTCAACTAAAATAGAGTTTAAATACTTTAAATGACACATGAATTTTCTAATGATACGTGCACGTAGTTTAACTTTGGATGATCAAAACACGTAGATAGCTGAAACGTTTGGTAGCGATATGGTGAACAACATTGAACACATTTTTCTCTAAACCAGTCACAACAACAATATTATAAAATATATATAAATGATTTTCACGTTAAATTGTTGTCAATTCGTGACTATTACATAAAGGATCGTGTTTTTACAGAATGTTTTCAATAATTGGTTTGAGAAAAATAATGTTAAATTGAGTTACCATATCCCTACCGATCCTTTTTAATTATATGAAGTGTTTACCACCTTGCTGATCTGCTTAAATGACCTCTGATTTTTGTGTCTTTTATATATGTTTTATTAATAGATTAAGCAGAAACATTCTAATCAGAGATCTATTGATCTTTGGGTTGTCATTATCAATGCATAGTTCATGTCTACCCCGTATCTCCCATTATATTGCAAAAATATTAGAATAGTTCATTTCCCGGACCGACTGCCCAACTGAGACGTCTTGATTGTATATGTAAATGTGTATGCCATTGAATTACTTATGTCATTGTTAATGTGCTATTATAATCTGTATTTTATTGTAGTATATGTGTATATTGTACAGTGGATACCATGTCAAATTCATGTGATATAAATGTAAAATGGAAGAGCGTTTAAAGGTCCCCTGTGTAAAATTAGCTTGATTCTGTTATTCGTAAAAATATTGATATGAATGATGTATAGTCATCTACCGATATCTACTTCAGATAAAAGTTACAATAAACTTGTGATATTTATCATGAATTAAAATGGGTTAGAAGTTTTATTAGTTAGCTTGGTTTTGAAACGTCTGGTGAAAACATTTCAAGTGAAAAGGGAGGGGGTACCACGTGCTCTTCCACTTTGCACTTATACCCCCTCCCAACCTTTATACCCAGCCTCCCATCCCACACCGTATGTATGTATCTATCTGACCAACCTCCCCTGCCTCTCCTTCTACATGCATCTATGTTATCCATTTTTCTTCATAAAATAAATTACATCGGATTTTGTCATATTGTCTGTCATATTGCTTTAAATATTGTTAAGTTATAAGTAGTGCAATATATTATTTTTAAATATTTTTTCTAGCTAGCTGTGACTTACACTAGTTTTATTATTTGAAGTAAATGTTCATGCACATCGTGCATGTAGTTTACATACATACAATACATACACTGCAAACCTTATAATTCCTCAGATGCTGAATTCCCATGTAATATAGACTATTCATGGATTTGGGAAGTTTGGAGAAATGTCAATATCTCTTTAGCAACGCATGGCGGTGGTTTTTGCATCTCTTCCCTTAATCTCAGTTGCTTATTGGACGGAACATAACATAAATTCGTGTTGATGTAACTAATTTATTTCAATATAAAGTTAATAATACTATTATCAGTTAGCAAATATCTGGTTTATATTATTTCATAGTTGAGGTTTAGAATCTTTAACATGATTCAGTTAAACCATTATATCAATCAAACACTGCGTCTATGCAGAACGAAACGATTATTAAGAAAAAAAGTTCCCATCTGACCAAGTTTGTTCATTGACCGAAATCTCATTGCTAGTGAAACGCATGGCTCCGTATTCATTGAAACATGGACTTATACTCTTATATTTACTATACGATCAGAAACGAACTGCAAGACGAAGGTTTTCTGCTTCTTTTACCAAGTGTTGATCAGACACAAATAACCATTACCTGTCGGACTGCAGTAGAAGTACTTCTCGAGTTCATACCCGATATCAGCAAAAGGATAAACACTTCATGTCAGAATCAAACGTCCCTCTTGTCGAAAAGCAGCAATATAAGACTATCTGGAATCCACGGATCCGTGCGTTTCAACAGCAATGTAAGGCTATCTGGAACCCACGGATCCGTGCGTTTTACCAGCAATAAGAGGCCACCTGGATCCCATGGATCCGTGCATTTTACCAGAAATGTAGGGCTTCCTGGATCCCATGGATACGTGCGTTTTACGATCAATGACATTGAGGAAAAAAAAGTCAGAGGAAGTTTCATACATCGTATATGTTGTTGAGCTACATGTTTCCAAAAGAACTATAACTGTACGTGAACTTATCGTATGATCTGTAAAATGAAGCCCTCTGATTGGTCAGTTTTTGTGCTGTACCAATCTGTATTGCTACTGAGATTGTCCCCATTGATCATCTCCGTCGCAATACAGAAAATATTGGTACGGAGGGGACAAACTCAGTACCAATACAGAGGATCACACGATAAAAACGTTATTGAATGATTTGAAGTGCAATACGGGATATATTCTGTCTCGATATTCTGTATTGGCACTCGACTTCGTCTCGTTCCAATACGGAATTCTCGAGCAGAATATATCCTGTATTGCACTTCAAATCATTCAATAACTTATAGTGTAAAACTATGGACATCCGGAACGAATTCATTATCACCTTTGTAGTAATAACTTGCCAAATTGTCTATAAACATGGTATAAAGCTAAAAGGAATATAGTTGTAACAAGGTCCCTGGAAAAACGATTGAGAGAGAGAGAGACAGCAATCCATAAGAGTCATTCTTTCACGTATAAGTCCTCTTAAAACGTGTTGCTTAATCTCCCCCAATATGTTGAATATAGAAACGTAAAACACATAATACTTTCCCCGAACTTATCATGGGTTTCTATATTGAGATATTGACATTTTATACAAATGTGCCAGGTTGCACATTGTACCTCAATATCATGTTTGTATTTCCAAAATGCATCAAATAAAGTGCTTCTGTACACTAACATCATATTATCTATTGCTTATCCACATTTCAGAGATGATCCAACCCGACCCAGGTACTGAGTGCTATGTGTCTAACATCATACTCACCTTTATGAATCTCATGTTTTTCACAACCTTTTGCATCTGTATGTTCAATCATAGCATCTGCTTTTTCGTAAAACACATCATTAGCTGTGTTATATTGGCATTTGCATGTCCCCGTCACCAACCAACCAAGCGGATCTAAATATAATTTAGTTTCATGATATTTTTCAAAATATCCCATGAGATTCATGAAAATACAGGGTGGAACAAAACGCCCAAATTCTTAATATTACTATCGTGATTTAAACAGCCATGAATTTTAGAAATATATTAGATTATATATTTCTGCCACTAGAAATTTACATTTTGGTCCTTTTACTAACCTACCTCAATCAAAAACGTTTACAAATGTGTAAATAATTTTGCAGAAAAAATAGAAATTTACTCCTGTATCTCATATGAGATATATTCAAATTCCATAAATTATTAAAACTGTAGCTATATAGTAATATATTAAAATATTGACGTTTTGAGTCACCCTGTAGCGTTGACCCGTGCATATTAAGATAAATATTTTGCATGCTTTCAATAAATCTCAACTCCTAATCAGTTCTGGTGCTTTAATCTTATTTCAACACCATACAGCTGATCGAAATCAGTCTTAGACATATTGTTCATTTATTGTTTTACTACATGTACTTGTCTATCACTTGTATATCACTTGAAGATGTATTTTTCTAATTTTGAACGTAACACATTTCTCAAATGTATTTACACAAATATCTTTACCAAGGGTACACCATTAAATGAATGCAAACATTTTATGTCGAATTGCATGTCTGAGACGCTGTTGTTGTTGCAAATGTACTAATAATTGATTTTATATTTGTATGATTTGTTTTACTGTTTATACTAAAGTGTTAAAATAAATGTTAATAACATGTAGTTGGCTTTACTTGTAAGTTTTATGTCATCCCGTCCTTGACCCAACTATTTCCATGATGAAAAACGAGCCACTAAACAAACAAACAAACATGAATAAATCAAAGCAAACAAATCACTAAACAAACAAATCAAAATGTAAAAATATGATATTTTATTTCCACACACTCAAACAATAGTTGATATGGGGGGTTCATATTATTTCCAAATCATCTACATAACATTTACTGGTATCTTTCAATAAATTTTATTTTACCACCTTAAAAAGAGCTTCATCTTCTTATAACCTAGACTCTAACACCCATGGCTTATCTACTATTAACCATGAAAGATTTGGTACAACTGCAATTTATCTTAATCGTTATTGTATTTTCTGTGATACTCCCTAGAACTGGTTGTTGTAAATTGAACATACTATTTCGGGTTGGATGTAAATAATGATATAATCTATATTTCTATAAATGGCTTTGCTATCGGAAGTTTTAACACTGTTCTATATGAGGTTTATATTAACTATCTGATTTCAGATTATTGATCTTTTATTCTTCACTATATATATATTGTTATGGTTATATAAAATGTATCCCAGGATGATGGGAGAGGCCTCAATCAATAATAACAATCTTACATCATAACGTTAGACACGTTTTTGGATATTGGGTTTTGTTCATTTTTGACTGTTCGTTACACTTCCTAATGTTTCCTTTTCTATATCTAGTTTTTATATTTTTAGTAATGATTTTTGTATATTTTGCCAAGGCATTTGTGCTTACATACATATACACATACATTTTCTTTTTTAAACCAATGACATATTATCGGAATACCATATACTTTGTTTGATACCTTATTCACAGTCCTTATCCACAGTCAAGTAAGCTTACCAAAATTACTGTTAATGCGAAAGCAATAAACATCACAGTTTCACATTTCAAACATATCAAACACCAATCTTTTTTCTAACAGTTTAAAAAAGTGTTATCCGTATCTCTATCCGGTTATCCTTATGAAAAAACTACAACAATTCCATTTTGCTGAGTTATCAAAGGCTAAATATCTTGGAATTAAGTATTAAAGCATCTTATCACATGGCAAGTTGCCTAATGGCTAAAATCTATGATGATATAAGAAGCATCACTATAAATATTTTAGCCGTACATCATATACACATAAACTGAGATGTTCTTATATCTATGCAAATGTATACCGCATTCCTTTAGCTATTACAGAGTTTGCAGTAAAACACCAAACGCCTTGTTGCAAGTGATGTTTTCGTTTGCTAAGGGTGTCTCATTGGTGTTTTATTTTGAGTTATAGGTTGTCTAATGGCCGTATTTTTGACAAACATAAATTGAACCAGTTTCGAACGTGAGATTTCTGAAACATTTTGAACATGTTAAATATCGGCGTACAGGTTACCTGATCTTGGCGCATGTTCTACTATACTGAAACATTGCTCTTTCTACACATAGCTGTGTACATACAATTTTTTGTCCATTATATTGTTTTCAAGCAGATCAGATTCATTTTCAAGAAGCCAGCAAAGCTTGTACCATTGGATAAGATTAATTGAATACACATCGTTCGAATCCAACAAGCACTTGATCTAGCTGTATTATGAATGAGAATCATTTATCTCATGGCCACATACTATACTAGTATCATCGCAGTACCTTACATTGGTATTATATTTAACTTGAACCAGAAACTGTTTTTGCATATTTCAGACACGGTATTATGCTGTAAGTTAGTAAGAGACCTTATCAATATATCAAGGGTAGACCACACTGTGGTTTCACCTTGGTGCGTGTACTACATACAAGGCATCTATGCTCCAAAAATAGTTGGTGATAACGTTTGCAATGCAGTTGAAATCATGCTTATCTGTACCTTATTCTAGCTGTTACGAGGAATGAATGTTTTGCATTTACCAGGGAACACTTCCACTTCATATGAAGAAATACTCAATGAGATATCAGGAAAAGGGCCAATACCTTACTCAATTCATCACTCACAAGAAAACATCTACCTACAAATCCATAAAGAAATTAGCTTTTCAAACAGATTGCAAACATATAGATATGTATTGATGTACATCATATTTCCCTTGAAAACATCTCATCAGAAATTCTGTTATACACTTGTTCGGTTCCTTTACTAAATATATATATATGCCAAATTTGTCTGCATATAGAGGCTCTCACTGATAAAACATTGCTCCAAAATAACATTCATCTACCATCTGACAAGAATTTCTATACTGTAACAACTTTAGTTTAACTTGATCCTTTTACATGCTCTTTTCACTTTTCCCTGTATAGGACTAGTTCTGTTCTGTCGTAAACCATACTTTGCAACGAGAGATTGTATTTTTAACATTAAGTAATATGCTTATTTCAATAATAAGTACATTCCTAATTCCTAGATGATGTTCGTCAATATATATAGTACTATATATATTTATTTATATGTTTGCATACCTGTATGTAAATAAATAATACAGGCCAAACAAATTCCATGTGTTCGATCAATCTCTTCTAAACATTTCAGACATTTACCATACATTTCCAATGTTTAATTCCTACCCTAACCTGCATGGATTTGATGTATTGCCGCTTTATTTCATTCACTATACACTAGTGTAAGTATACACGTTATAATATATTATTTATATATTATATAGACAAATTTTTATTTATTTAAAATTAATAATAGCTTGAATAAATTTTTGTCCATATGTCTTAATATCAATATATCCCACCAAATGTTCTTACTCTACAATCCCCCTTTAATGTATCCCTTTTGTATAATGCCAATATCATCTAATTGTCCAATTCTCTCACGTATCAATGTTACCAATTGACATCATATTTCAATTTTCTTACGTATTATTGTTACCAATTTAACATCTTATTTTCCCACTGCTATAAAAACTTGAAATGTTTGTGGGTATATTTTCTTTTGCAAGAATTGATACATGAGTACATACGAACAGCAATGCAAATGTATATATATATATGTTGTTTTAAGGCATATGCTTATACTATATCTGGCATATTATATTTAGCCCCACTTGTCCAACAAGCCTCTTAATCTGAATCATCAATGTCAATCAATTGCTTGACAAGCATCGACAAATATATAAAGAGGAAATGCACGTAGACATTGCCATGGTTATGATGATGGCAAATATCTGATGCATTGAAATCTGATCCATTCAAGTCGATTGCAGCAGTAATACGCCCAAATGAAGACTTAAATATTCATAACAAGCTGAGAACCCCCGAGATATATTACGTAAACTGTTTGGATTCTTTCCTGGTAATAGAGATATGTGGTATCAGAAATGTCAGACTAAACTTTACCTTGTCTATTCCTCTGAAGATATAGCCTTTTTATTGTCACTTTATGATAGAAATTCCAACTTAGGATAAAAAAAATTATACAGGGTGAGCCAATATAATAATATTTATTTGAACGATTGGACAGTGCTTTTACTGATGTTTAAAATTTGAGTGTTAGATTAACGTTAATCTACCCATGATAGGCCATCGAATAGCGTCTAGTCAGATATTTAGCAAAGATCTCATAAGACTCGTATCTTGAATGATCTTTTAGATTTTGTCATATCTTTCTTATCATAAAAGGAACATCTGTTTCATTCATTCTCGTAGATCCTTGCTGACTAGTTTTGTTTCTTTACATTTTATTTGTTGCATTTATTACATTCCCAGTATTCCAACTTAACTAAAACATAAATTACAATATGGTAATAGCATTGCACCTGTGTTCCTTTGAAGTTAAAATCACATGAAGATTGCAACATCAAGTATTTCCGTGTGACTGGGAATTTGCATTTATACCCCTAGTTAACAGTTCCCGTTGAAATACACCGAAGGCCGTATTTTTGAAATTTTTGCAAGAACAGTATCGTTGAATGTTGGATATCCAGGGAAAATATTTTTAAAATGCATGCCTTTTTTAAAAAGTCAGAGGGAAGATAAAATCTGTGGACGTTTTTGGCTCACCATGTACATAATATAAAAATGCCAAGATGTTGAATTTAAGTATTCTGACATTTGGGAAAACACAATTTGAGACCAAATCATAACCGCCATTCTTGTCTTAGCTTTACTATATGAAACATCATCATTATGTAACAGTGTTCCATTATATTTGCAGAGCGAATAATGTATTAAATCAAGAGACGATCTTCTTATTTCAATGGTACTATACCACGATATCTAGAAATTGAAATATAGAAACACATGGTCCATATGCATTAAAATTAAAATAGAAACCAGACTTAACAAGTAGAGTATATAATATATATACGAGTATGTATATGATATGAATTGAAGAAGTTGAAGCAATAATGCAATTGCGTATTATGCAATGCATCGATAACGTCCCATCAGAATAATTAATGTCCCAACTCACATTTTTGTGAAACTGAGAAGTCATTTTTTCAAAGTTAAGACATCTATAATTACAGTAGTATCTATCTGTCATGTGTGTCATTTTAAATTTTTTTTGTCAAAAAATGTGTAAATACACAACAAAATCATATATTTTAAGTTTTTTTTAAATCCGTTTTTGAGCATATTAAAAATGGAGATATGACAATTCAATTTTCAGTTTTCCACAACATCGAAAGATTAAAGATGAGGTGTGTCCATTTCACTAGGTATTTTCAATGAACACAAATTTCTCTATTCATTTTTACAAAAATAAAGTCAAATCTCAGTTTAAAATTATAATAATTCCTAGTCCCAAGATGTAATTCAAACAATTTGATTGGTTAAGATGGCGCATAGGAGAAAGTTGAATTGGATTTTGGAAATTTTTTGGACAATTGGAAACTGAAAAGCAGGCTATTGAGAAGAGATAGAGTAAGGGAATATCACAGGAAGAAAGATGATGATTTAAACAGGGGAAATCTGTGAAATTCTCAATCTTTTCAAGAATGGCACTTGTGACATTATTATTCTGACAGGACAATATATGTAGTATTTCATCAATTTGCCTCGCCCCTTTGCTAAACTCATAACTCTAGGCATCGTCAAATTTAAAATATGATAAGATTAAGCTGGAGTAAGACAACTCATTTTCAAAAGGGCCGCTCAATGTTACTGTGTGTAATGGGGCAATGGTTATGTTTTTGTGGTTTACGATGTTTTGCTCAAAACCAGAATTGGATCTTTCTTATGATAACGTTAAGGTATTCAAGAGATATATAGCCAAGATGGTAATATTTTCTATGGCAGTAACCCACCTGTTAAACAAAACAGGCTGGCGTGTTTTCAGTCTGGATTCTGATGCTTTGATCTGCATAAATACCTACACCTAGATTAGACGATGAAGTCTTAACTTGGTAAGGTACTAAACCATATTCAAGAAAGGTCATGGAGAATCTACATTGTGTACCATTAGTATCTTCTGTTATATATTTGATGTTTGGTTCTGGTTGACTGGATATGTTGTAAAAATGGCATTGTCACAAACCAAGGGATCACATTTCCTTCAACTATGTTGAACCCTTACATATATCTGTAGCCAGGAGAACAAAATAAATCATATTACCGACATCTCACCCATCCTTTTCTATTTCAGTCATGAGCTAGGTCAGACAGGAATAACTTGTAGTAGTTTTGCACTGATCGATTTCTGTAGATGTTATGAAAATCTCATCTTTTTATCTTCAGATAATCAAATTAGGATTGCAAGGGTAACATTGAAATTATCGCTTCCGGTATTTTACGCACTTTATTCTTTATTGCCATTTAATTTTTTAAATTCAACATTGACATCCTAATTCCCTCTAAAATTCAATTTTTGGTTATATCCCGTCAATACTATAACTTGCACTGCTGTTGTGTATGGATCGTCATGTGTTCAATTCTTGGGAATGAAGTAGTTCTCACCAGAGTTTCGTTTTCAGCCCTGCTTGATCGTCAGAAGTGGATTATGGGAGACTTTGAGGAGGCTCAGCCGAAGCATTACACACAGGTTGAAGAGGACGCTCTACCTGGTAGGGCAAAGCAGTTGGCAAACAGTGTTGATGGTCCCCAACCAATGCAACCAGTAACTTCTCAACAGTTTGTTGCTCCGAAAAAATTTCAGTCTCCGACCTTGGCTCTGATTAATTATCAGAACACACATGCTAAGGTTGACGCAATTTCAGAGCCTTTTCAGTCGCCTACACTTGATGCTATCAATGCTGCTGCTCATGATGAATCTTATAAGCCACGTAGCCCCCGAGTGAGGCAAGCACAGGGACATCCCCTGGCCTCCCCACCAAGTCCCCAAGCTGAGTATCATCCAGCTCCTCAGCCCCAGTATCAACCACTACCCCAGTATCACGCTTCTCCTGAGCCCCAAACCCAAGTAGCTCACGCTAAGACCTACCAACCAGATGTTCTCTCTGAAAGTGGCAAACCTACCCCACGAGTGAAGAGCGTTATTACCCCCGTTAGTCCAGTTATAGCCCCTACTAGTCCCGTTAGTCCAACTATAGCCCAAGTGAGCTCTTCTACGACTCAGCAACAAGCTACACTACCAGAGCAAGGGGGACCAATGAGAGTAGTTTTAAAGCCACATGAAACTGTTGTAGTAGGATCATCTGCGAAGCGTCATGACCCCAAAGATGCATACAAGCAACTAGTTAAACCTCTCCATGTACAACAGGCTGCATCTGTGCAAGAACAACAAGCTCCTAAAGAAACTGTAAATGTGGAACAATCAAAACCTGAGCCCAAGGAAGTTCATGATGAGGCAGAAGGTAGGCGTCAAAGGGCAAGTGAAGAAGAAAAGAGGAAAAGGAGAGAAAAGAGGGAAAGAAAACGTTTCCGTCAGAGAGAACCAGAAGAGCCAGCAGTTGAACTGGCACAGCCTCCCAAAGGCCGTGTCCCTGAAGCCGAAACTGTTCCAAAGACTGCTGACCCTGTCCCCGTAGCTCCAGCTTCGGCTGAAGCTGTAGACGAAGCTAGTATTCAACCAACAACATTACCAAATAAAAAGCAGCCACCGAGGCGAGAAGTACCACCGGAGGCACTAGAAATAGATGATATTCCAGATGGGGCATTGGTGTCTAAATCAAAGCCTTCAGAAGCGCCAGTAGAAATAGCAGTTGAAGAAGTTGTCCAACCAATAGTTTTACCAGATAAAAAGCACCCCCCTAGAGCCGAAGTACCTCCAGAGGCATTAGCTGATGAGGAAATAGTGGAGAGAGAACCTGAAAAACAAAAACCGCCGATTAGAAAAGAATCAGATCCAAAAGTTACAGATACCAATCTTAAAGCTGGTCAAATCAAGGAGGACAACAAACCTGAAGAATCAGAATCGAAAACTATAAACGAGGCACCAAAACCTGAATCTCCCAAACAAGAACCAAAGTCTACACCTCCTGAAGAGGAAGTTATATCGTCACCCCCCAAAGAAGAGCCAAAACCGGAACCTCCTAGAGAAGAGCCCAAACCAGCACTTCCCAAAGAAGAACCAAAACAGGAACCTTCTAAACAAGAACCGAAATCCGCACCTCCTAAAGAAGAACCGAAACCGGAACCTCCTAAAGAAGAGCCAAAACCTGCACCTCCTAAAGAGGAATCAAAACCGGAATCTCCTAAAGAAGAACCAAAACCGGAACCTCCTAAAGAAGAGCCCAAACCTGCACCTCCTAAAGAAGAATCAAAACCGGAACCTCCTAAAGAAGAACCCAAACCTGCACCTCCTAAAGAAGAATCAAAACCGGAACCTCCTAAAGAAGAAATAAAACCGGAACCTCCTAAAGAAGAACCCAAACCTGCACCTCCTCAAGAAAAATCAGAACCGGAACCTCCTAAAGAAGAACCGAAACTCACACCTCCAAAAGAAGAACCAAAACCGGAACCTCCTAAACAAGAACCGAAAACTGCACCTCCAAAAGAAGAACCAAAACCAGAACCTAAAGAAGAGCCAAAACCGGAACCTCCTAAAGAAGAATCGAAACCTGAACCTCCTAAAGAAGAGTCCAAACCCGCAACTCCAAAAGAAGAACCAAAACCGACACCACCTAAGGAAGAGCCTAAACCCGCTCCTCCAAAAGAAGAATCAAAATCGGAACGTCCTAAAGAAGAGCCAAAATCAGCACCTCCTAAAGAACAGTCAGGACCAGCACCTCCCAAAGAGGAACCAAAATCGGCATCTGAAACTAAAAAGGAAGAAAATAAAGAGGATGTTCAAAAAAAGAACGTCACTAAGGATAAAAAAGAAAATGACACTAAATCTAAACCAGAAACAAAGAAAATTGAAAACAAGGGAAAACCTCCTCCCAAAAAGTTTGGAGGTGGTGGACTTTCAGATATGATGAACAGGTTTGAAAAGGGGGGATCATCCAATTCTAAAAAGGGACCTGCTCCTAAACGATCATTATATTCCTAGTAGGTTTAATACTACATTGTTTAGTTGTACATAATGTTTGACCTATTGTCTTGTTGGGCATGATTGTTTTACATATTTGTTTACTATTCAACATTTAGCTATTTATTCTTAATAATCCTTTTAAAGATTCAATGGTGTATATAGAATGTGAGTTTAGCAATGATTCCGTGAAATGTGTACATTTCCGAATGGTTGTGAGTTTAGTGGTATAAAAAGTAGTTCTGGTATAACAACACAGCCATTTAATCAATGTGTTACAAGTGAACATAATGTTGTACCTTTGAGAAGATTTGATGGTGCTGGAAATAATCCATGGTGAGATTTCGAGGTGTAATGACATTGCATTGTGCAACGTACATCATATTAAGGAGATCCTCGTAAAGTTAAAAAATAAAGTCAGCTGGGAGTTATAGTGTTCGGCAAAAATATACCCTCGTCCCATATATATAATCCAAAATTGGATGGATCAAATCAAAGCCAAGGCTTTTATAATGACCGCCAATATACTTTAGAAAAATACAAGCCACTGGAGCAGGAGAGTCAAGTAGCCCAGGCGGTACATGCAGCAGACGCTCGGCATAAGAAGAAGGCACCCGCCAATATGTCACCTGCTGTTACTGATCAAGATTCAACACAAGTCCCGATAACAGTCCCAGAGCCAGAAACAAGAGACCCAGAAAGAGTACCAGAGCTGGAAAGAGTGCAAGAACTTGAACCAACGGTACCTGTGAGTGAACCGGAACCAAAGGTACCTGTAACTGAACCAGTGACTATACTACCCGAACACGTAGACCTCAATCCGGTGACTCCGGAACCTGAAGAGCCACCCACAGATGAACGCCCTGATCCATCAGAGGGCTTTGGTATCACTGAGTACTAGGTGTAAGTGTGTATTGTGCACCACGTTTATACACTACCCTGTCTTTCCCTGTCTTCACATCATTATACTAGAGATTAATCTTGGAATTCACCATCGCTATTGCACACCAATGATTACACGTGCTACTGAGAGTGCTCGCCACATTAATCTGCATGTCACCCATTTGGGTTCGCTACAACCATGGACCTCGGCACAGTAGCACATCGTTTTATGTTGAGCAATGCAGTTCTGTGTACCAATGACCTGGCCACACAACCCAAGCTTTTTAAAAGGTTGGTATTGCAACTTTCTATTCCCCTTCCATACCAATTTGTTTGGTATGCCATCTATGGATTCAAGTGTTTTGCATGGTTTCCACTAGGGGACGCTCATAGGCTACGTTTGGAGGCTTCTTCAAAATATAGTTATTTTACATTTGGCGCATATTGCTATTTGACATTTCCAACGGATGCATTTATTGTAGTAGCTACATAGCCTGAATGGTATAGTTATCCATCAGTATTAATGACAATTAAATGTCGGGTTTGTTTGATTTGCATCATAGTAATGGTTGATTTAAAAAGGCCGTATTCTTATTTACGATTTTTTGTTTTATTCTTTTTGGTTAAATTTAGCACCAAAAATAGCTTCGACATTCAGAAGGACAAAATTCATCGTTTAAAGCTTTCCAATGATAGCCTTATGTTCGTGTCTGAAGGGTTTGTATTATGTGTGTTGCATATTCGGAAAAAATGACTGACATGCTGAACGTCCATATATACAACAATGTGATGTGCACGAAAAATATTTATCCTATGATTATTTCAACATTATTGCAACGACTAGCATTGATATTTTTGATATTTATAAAACATTTTGTGATAATATCATAGAATTTACCACACTGATATGCGACGTTTCCAGGTCAGTAATTGGTTTAAGATCATCTTACAGATCTAAAGATGTTAAAAATGCATTCGCACAAGCTAAAAACAAGAAAAAACACTTGGGAAATTTTCTTATATCGTACTTTATATTTTTATATGATATTAAAGATATTGAAGTTCTGGTGTTGAATTTCATATTGTATATGCAAAATACAATGGCCAGATGAAAAAAATCATAGGATAAGTATAATATCACATTATTCTTCGTGCTATCATTTTATCAACTTCTTGGTATCAAATATCAACACGAGTGACCATAACCCATCCAATGTTGACATGTGGTATCAATTCGTTCAATAAAATGATACCAATATCGATTGTCTTATATATATGTTTGAATGCATGTAATAAACTGTGAGCAGATAAAGGTATAATTTTGGGATTAATATGATTTGTGTTTAATCTCGTTTGTGATTTGTTGATTATAATTTTTAAGCGTAATAACCAATTTTTGGGGTAACAATTTTGAACTACAACCGAAGATGGGCGAAGATCTAACCGTAGCTCTTGGAGGAATTTGATTGGTTCCTTGAAGCATCTTCGGCCATTTTCGTGATATTAACATCCTCAGCCGAAGATGGCCGAAGAAGCTTGTACTGCAACCGAAGATGGCCGAAGATCTAACCCCAACCCTTAAAGGAATTTGATTGGTTCCTTGAAGCATCTTCGGCCATTTTCGTGATATTAACATCTTCAGCCGAAGATGGCCGAAGAAGCTTGTACTGCAACCGAAGATGGCCGAAGATCTAACCCCAACCCTTAAAGGAATTTGATTGGTTCCTTAAAGCATCTTCGGCCATCTTCGTGATGTCAACATATTGCATTCTCAAAATTCATTTCGTTCGTTGCGTACCTTCACTACCAGGAGGTACGGATGGCACTGGACGAAAGGCTCGGAGACTGAACATATTGCGGTGCATCGGTGCATCGACCTGTTGTAGGTATAGCAGTAATATGCTCAAACCGTTTTCAGTAATGGCAAAACATTTTAATGAATTGCATTCTCGTAGCATTATGCAATGACATGCCGACTTCGAAATATTCAACAAATAAATAGTCGATCGTTGACCTGTGTGTGTGAAACCAAAATGAGGATTGGCAGCCACGATTCAAACTTCAAACTCTCGTGGCAGTCATCTCCAACGTATGGGTATGGGCTTTCAATAGATACAGTAATATTGTTATCAAAAATTGGTCTATAACAGATGACAGACAGACAATGGAGAATCGAGTTTGACTCATGGAGACAATGTATTCTCATACTCTAATTGGTTACGGCATCCTCCTCCGAACGCAGGGCTCAAGACAGTAGTTAGTACCAACAAAAAGTTCTAAAAAACATTTTCTCGGAAAAACTCAAGTTCATCGAAACTCAACAAGCACATCCATGTTGGATAGTATTGCTAGAATCCATTTTCAGAAGTAAGAATAGGGGTTCTTAAATAGGATATTAAAGCTTGACTAAGGCCTTTTTGAAATTTTTGTTTTTTAGTATTCTTTCTTGGAACCATTGGATTTGAAAATCTGAGCAGTTTGTGACACGATTTATATATATAGAGCTTTTGGAAACACTTTTGGATTAGGAGCTCTGTATACCAGCTAACATTCGCGAATACAACCGCCGGCTGTCGGCTGATGGTTTGATTGCTGTTCCATGGCCAACTCATTTAAATATGAATTGTACCTGATACTTGTCATTTTCATCTTCAAATGAGTTGGACATCAAATAGAGCGGTCAAACCGTCAGTCGGCGGGTGAATTCGATAGTGCTACCTTGTTTATATCCGCATGTTCAAAAACTTTAATGGGTTCCAAATTGGAGTCCTATTTTATTTTCAGGTACATTTACATGTAACCAATTCTTTTCCTGCTTTACATCTTTCATTTCGTGAATTTATATATACTCTTTGTGCAAAACTTAAAGATAGATACCATGTTCGAAATGAGAACAGTGAGCCTGATCCATCGATTGAAGGAAAACACTGGTTTAACATGGAAAATAACATGGGACTCCGAAGCCGAAACTGTTTAAATTCCTAAACATACAACTTTAATGAATGCCTAATTTCACAATTAGATTAGATTTGTGAGATGTAGAATAGATGGTATTTGTTATATTTTGTCATGATTTGATAAACGCAATTATGAATTGCACTTTTCGTATTAGTTTATTCTAGTTCAGATAACTCTTCACACATGCTGCTAGATTAAAGCTATTTTATAGTATTGTTATTATACACTCATCTCATTGAGTTCCGAAATCCTAACTGAGTTTTATGAACCACTCGAGGTGGGTGTAAATATGATAGACACCATTCACATACTAGTTAGACATAGTTAGAAAACACTATATCACATTTGTTTAGCACAATTTGTATTTTGTAGATTACATGTATTCACAAGGCAAATAACCATTTATTCGGCAAATAACTTTTCCCAATTTACTTTTCAGGAAAGGCGTGATTTCCTATATGGACCACTAAAAATACTGCCATGACAAGAAAGCATTACACCAAAATGAGAATATTTATTCCATGACAAGGAACAATTTATCTAATACTGAATGATGATAGATAAGCCAGTTGTGATATTAATATATATTTGACACTTGTGGTGCACGTTTTTATTTCGAAGATGACAGCGAACGTCTATGAAACCGCGAGGAACGAAGATTAGTATAATGTAATGAGTCGGTCATACACACCGAGACTCGTTTCAGCCAACAGTTAACGATAATTTTATAAAACAGATTTAGCATTTTCTTATTGAACTACAAACTTCGATTTGTATTTATATACATCCTTACCGTAATTAACATTGTTAAACAAATGTGTGTGTAATTGATGTATTTAAAAATGTGGCATAAGATGATCAAGGAATTTAATACTGTCTTTACGGTTTTACATAATATTTTACAATGTACAAAAAATGCATCAAAACGTAAAAACTAGAGCTCCAAACTAATGTTGAAATAATGTGTTGATATTTTGTATTTGAGCTGTACATAGAAATGTGCAGTTTTGTTATGATTAGAATATGGTACTTTTATGAAAATTAAAAGCATATTTTATACACCGTATAGCTTTCATTTACTTTGGACATATAGACGGATATGTACTATGCATTTAATATAGTTTTACCTTTTTTAAGTTATTACTGGTGTTAAGCTTGACAAACTAGTCTTTCATTTCAATTTTTCACTTGAGGGATTCTGCGGTTGCTTGCAGAGTGTATGTAGTATTTCTTTAAATTAAGTATAGTTTTAATCAACGTTATTTGATTAATGGTTTATCCATACAGTATTGTTGCATCTTTGAAAACTATTCTCGATCTACAGTCTGTCATGAGCTCACTTAAGTTTGTTTTAAACTTTCATTTTATTGTTTTCAATTCAATGATGTCTATGATTGTCTATGTCAATCTCCATAGGCAATGAAGTAAAATATCCCCTGTAATGCCTTTGCCAAACTACCACCAGCGGGCAGCTAATCGGCACACTAGCACTTAGGAATTACGTGGGATAATTTTGCACCGGAGTGTTTCAATTGATAAGTTTGTGCTTTAATTAGTAAGCACTTCATTTGAATCTGCACTTCATTTGAATCTAATTTGCAGATGTTCAAAAAGTATTCAAGTGGAGTGAGTTAGATTCGATGCAGTTGAATATATTGTACTGACATATAATATATTTTAGGAGTTTGTTTATTTTACATATTGTTTTACTATCATTCATCTCGGTCATTGTTGTGCTCTATAAACGATTATACTCCATAGCAAAAACATTACTAACTTGACGAAGTCTATTTAGATTTCAATGTTTTTAGCATTTATATTCATATTATTGTAGTATGTGTGTCAATCATTGAGCATAAAACTTTAAAATGAAAGACCCATAAAATGAGCTTGTGTGAGTTAAATACTGAAATACTGTCAGTAAACATCTTTGAGTGAATAACATTTTTTGCAAAATGCTGTATGTATTTACCTAGAATGTATTTATCAAAACCGCATTGAAATATTTCCTTATACCTTTTCTGTTGCATCGTGTGATACATTGTTTTTTTAATTCTTACCTGACATTCTGAGTGAGTACGTACGTTTACAATTATTTTGAGCAATCTAGATAAAGTATTGTTTTATAGTTTTGCGCTTCCTTATGAAAAAAAGTAAAATACTCTTGGACCAAGGACAACATACATAATGTATCCAGTCATGCTTGCTTTAAGTAAGTCGTGTACTCTTGGCTTGGTTAATATAAAGAACAATGTGTGGTGGTTTATGATGAAGTTGAATTGAAATGAAGTGTTATGGTTATATCATTAAATCGCAGTCAGAAAACTCTGGTGGTCAGGTGGTAGTGAATTCTAAATTGCCAAAATACTCAAGGAGGATTGGCTCCCAGGATCGAAACTCGATATTTTCAAACAATGAAAAGGTCGAAATGTCGTTCTTTTCTGATATCAAAACCGACTATAAATTCAAAATAAACAGTTCAAAAGATTCGAACCAATATCTCGATCATTTCTTGTGAGTTTTGGAAGTTTTCGTTAGGAAATAAGACCAAAATTCACGATTCAAATGTTGAAGTAAACAAAATGGCGGCTGTTTGAATACGAATTCATCACGACATACCCATATATGGGACAGAATATCCATGTTGCACTTTGGGAGCCAATCCTCCTTGCTAAATACTCTAGTTGATCAATTCACTTAATTGAATTAAATCTTATCCTAATCTCATTTTAATAGCCTATATACGGTATTTAAATTGATGTTGAATTGTTTTATAGTTGCAATAAAAAAATATATGTTGTAAAATTTATTATATATTGTGAACTTATAAAGGATTGTTAAAAATAAATAATATATTTTGTGTTATATGATATGAACGTGGCAGATGTAGATGTAGGTCCGATGATGGGCTTATATCTCACTCTCATCTAAGTAATCACAAATTATTTTTTACCATCAATAGATGTTGGAGCAAACCTTCTTTTGTTATTACGAATGCTTGAAGATGTTGAAATACACCTTCTGGTATAAAAGCTTGGAAAAACGCATTCGGGTACTTCAATCTTTTAGAAATGATTCGGAAAATCAGTTTGCAGCTTGTATAATTTAGACACATCTCAATATCGACATTAATCAAGAAATAACTGAAATGATTTGAAATTTTTTTTTGAAATCATATTAGCTCCATCTTTAAACATTAGTACAAACTCTCCTTAAAGGCCCGCTATACTTAATTTAGAAGAAAAAAATAAAAGAATAATCATTGAAACATGTTACTCACACACTCGCTAAAATATGACACAGGTTTGAATTGCTAAAATTGAACCAAGAAAAAAATAACTCAGATAGAAAAAAGCATTTGAAGTTTAGAGATCTTTAGACATGCATGCACATGATAAACAAAGTGCATGCTTTAAATTACTGTTGATTTAAAAGATGGCGACACTTCTATAAATATGAATGTATCATATAATAGAGAGATTTCGCACATCGTGAAAGTACAACTTATAACGTATATTTATACTTATAGGTAAACGTACAAGGTGTTTCATAATGTGGGCTTTTCGTCAGGAAAGATCTTCTCGGACTGTAATAAATACAGGTCAAAGGGATGCCATTTGTACTTTCTTGAATTGTAGCATGTTTAGTTGATCCAAATGTCTTTGTCTAGAATAAAATAGGCTCATATATAGTACATATGTTATAGACCCATCTCTTCTCAAATTGACTTTTTGGAGATGCTCGTTATGAAACACCCTGTATGTCATATGTTGAGCTACTGAATTTACTGTTTCCAGGAATTGCTAGAACCTACTGGTTTGATTGGTGTTTCAAATTGATGGTTAAAGTATTTGATTGGATACTGTTCCCACTCAATTTCAAAGAATGCTTGCGGTCAATTGTTCCACACACGTGTAGGCAAATCTTTATACGGAGATCCAACTGTATACGTTATCATCTACGTAAATATACCGTTTTGTAAGTTCATTGAACTTATACTGATCATGAAAACATTGAAATAATCAACTTGTTTATGTAATGACTCACTTTAAAGAAGCATGACTCACTTTAAAGGATCGTGTTTATAATACACTACAACTACAAGGGCACGGAAGCAAGCATTTAATCATAATGTGCATAATCTACACGTTCAGATGACTGCATTCACAGTCTCTAGTTGATGGAGCTTTTCTATAACGGGAATAGTTATGTTCCATTAAGTACAATTTAAAATTGATTTTAGTAAATATAATAGTTCGACATGACCCTTTAAACTATACGTATACGTATAAGTTGTACTTTCACTTATGTGCGAAATCTCTCTAATACAAATAATTCTGCCATATTTCAATGGCATGGATAAAAACTTAATACATTATGCTTGACAGATTGAAAATATCTTTTGATAATGTATTGCAAGCTTTGATGTGGTCCGTTTGAGCTGTTGTTGGTGCCGAATGAAAGATAATTAAGGTTCTTATCAATACACTGGACATGTTATGAAATTCAAATGTAAGTTTTTATTTTGCCCAAAAACGTTGAAAATACGCAAAATGGGCCTTTAGAATGATACTTTGCATAGTAAAGATGGCAGTACTGTACATCATAATATGATTTTTGGAGGAAAGAATACCGAGGTTTCGGCATGATATGTTAACATGCTAACATTAAATTGATTTAAGATTTGACATGGTTTTGTAATTTTTGATTGTGTTAGTGGTTTCTGAGATTGCTTTAGACACTATTTAGACACGCTAGATCCGGGGGGGGTACTGGTCAACTTTTTTAAAGCGGGGAGAGGGTGTACCGCTGAGATTCAACCACATCTAGTTTTGGTTTTTTTAAATGGACCCCTTTCAAAAATAAACCCACTTTGAGGTAATTCTTCAAAAACAAGACCCACTACTCACGGCGATTTTTAAGAACAATGCCGAATTTAATTAGGATTTTCAAAAAGAACCAGTTCTAAGTTCTTTTCAAAATGGGACCCAAACCTAGTTTTTTGTTGTTGAAAAAGTGACCCACTCTATAGCGGGACGTCCCCATTAAGCCAACATATGGGAGTATCCCCCCGCGTTAAATCTTTTACCATGGATTTTTGACAACTACTTTTTCATATAACTGGATAATTTTACATGTTTCTATGAATTATTGGTAACCGAAGACAAATTTTGATTTGAGAGACTTCTGCATCATAAATCTGAGATAAAGTCGTACGGACAATCAAACATTTATATATGACAATCTTTACGAAGAATTCATAATCATATATAGCACTAGTCTATAGATATGGCACACAAAGGGGTTCTTTAAGAATATTCTTCAAGAATCTTGTTAAAATATATGATATATGCATTTTTCAGTTTTGAAATATGTTTTGTAAATACATTCATTCATTTCTATACTATCTTATCTTAAATACAATTGTAATGAATTTAATTGTGTTAAAATGCTCTCCTTAAAGCGGAGGAAAATAAAGAAACGTAAACATAGAAATCACGGGTGTTAAAACACGAATATACCATGAGCACATGCTTTGAGGATCCGCGTTGTTTAAACCTACCGCCGAGCACACTTATACATTAAGACCCGTTACACAGTCATGATACCGCCGAGCAAGCTCATTGCATCATTGCGTCTGCTTTACCCCCGTGGAAATGTGCGATACCTAATTTAACACCCAACATAAACCACTTTCTAAATTAATCAAAAATGTTCCACATGTCATATAATATTGGAAAAGACAAAGTGGGCCAAACTGTAAACAGTACCTTAAAGCTTGGTACAGTAAGAATATACGTCAAACGACGAGTAGATGTATTCAAGTCCAAGATCCGTGTGACTCGGTTAGAGTAAACACCAGGCAACTTTTAAGAAACTCATCGTAAAACACAATTAATCATAACGTATTCACAATATACAAGTTAGTTATGACAAACTTAATCTGAAACATTTGAAAAACCAATCAAGAAACTAGCCAATATTAAAAATTTGTGTAAGACGATTATATGTTTGATTATAGAACTAAGGTAAATATACATACAATTCAGTACACATGCTGGGTTTACAATACTATATAGTTAATACATACTCGAACGTTGTAAACAAAAAATTTACACGCACAAAAGGTAGATACTATATACATTTTGGAGAAAACGAGGACATATTCAACAACACGATGGTTAACAAAGTGGAAGACATTCTTGCTTCGTTGGGGGATCCTGGGAGCTATGCGAAAGTTATATTCTTCTTCGTCTCGCTGAATTATATTCCGGTGGCATTCAACCATCTCGCCATGGCTGTCTTCGGAGCTAGGACAACGTTTACCTGTAAAGTTCCCGAAGGTGAGACATGGGCGTTGTTATTTTTTAATTTATTTATATCTAAAAATACCAAAACAATATCTTGACTTAACAATGATTTGTTACTACATGTAGTAAATATACTCATTGCAAATACACTGCCATGCCCTTCATGTACATGTTGCCCTATACTGGTGACTGGTTTATTGTTGTTGGTGATCAATTTTACCCTAATACAACCAGACCATTATGAGAAAGCATGGCCTTCTATTAACTTCACTCTAGAATTTCTCGTTTAAGATAAAAAGATGTCATTAGTATCAGAATGCAACCAGACTTTCCATGGAATGATGTTAAGAACAAGAGGGGGCTAGGTTACTTGTATTATCCTCTTACCTGGAAGGTAACAAGTCAATTGTATGATAATTTAGTTTAACTGGATACCTGTCACGGAAGGAACAACAATTACATTACGATTTGGAACGAGTAACATACCTGCCAACCTAAGACCCAAATTTTGCGGTAGATTTTTTTAAAATTGCTGTATTTTTGCGGTAGATTTTTTCAAAATACAGTAGTTTTTACGGTACTTTTTAACAAAATTGCGGTAGTTTTTGCGGTAGATTTTAAAAAAACGGTAGTTTTTGCGGTAGATTTAAAAAAAACGGTAGTTTTTGCGGTAGATTTAAAAAATACGGTAGTTTTTGCGGTAGATTTTAAAAAAATACTGTAGTTTCAGAGGTTTGGGGTAGATTTTTGAAAAAAGTGTAATTTTGCGGTAGAAATTTGAAATAAGCGGTAGTTTTGCGGAAGATTTAGAAAAAATGCGGTAGTTTTACGGTAGATTTTTAAAAATGCGGTAGTTTTTACGGTAGTTTTTTGAAAAACCGGTAGTTTTGCGAAAGATTCTGAAAAAATGCGGTAGTTTTACGGTAGATTTTGAAAAGATACGGTAGTTTGTACGGTAGTTTTTTGAAAAAATACGGTAGTTTGTACGGTAGTTTTTTGAAAAACCGGTAGTTTTGCGGAAAATTTTGAAAAAATGCGGTAGTTTTACGGTAGATTTTGAAAATTGCGGTAGTCTTTACGGAAATGTTTGGAAAAACCGGTACTTTTGCGGAAGATTTTGAAAAAATGCGGTAGTTTTACGGTAGATTTTGAAAATTGCAGTAGTTTTTACGGTAATTTTTTGAAAAACTGGTACTTTTGCGGAAGATTTGCCAAAATGCGGTATTTTTCGGTAGATTTTGAAAAATGCGGTAGTAATACCTTTATACAATGCGGTTTTCTATATTAATACAATGTTTACGTGGTCATATTGTTGTTGTTATTGTGAATACATATTTTACTGCAAGAGTGCTTTTGATAATTACAGTTTGTAAAGCAGAACTACCACCTGAGAATTATACGAAACTATTATTTTCAAGAAAAAATAGATATACTATTTTCAAGAATAAATAGAGACTAAACACTTTTTATTCTTCATTTTCCATGCCTACAATGGACTGACAGCAACTTTGGATTTTAATGTTTCAGCAAAATGTACATATACACAACTCTTTTACAATAAATCTAGATTGATTCAAAATACGAACACAATATTCATATCTCAACTTTTATTCACCTTCTAACCAGTTTTTTTTAGATATTAGGATGTTTGGAAATACCATGAATGAAACATTTACTGAAATACAAAATATGGATTTTACACATTTTTACTCACCATCTTATATGATCTATCACTTTAACGAATTAAAATGACAGACATAATGTTCATATAACATTGGAATCATATGGTATTAAATATTGATTTGCTCACTCGCAAGTCTCTAATGATATCAATGTGTTTGTCTGGCACAAATAGAAAATAAGTACAGATCAATTGTTTTCCAAAAATAATCTGTTATGAGCATTTGCTGAAACCTTTCCCCTGAGACATCGTTCAGATTCGGATGTCACAATACGTTTATAATAAACCAGAACTCAATGCTTTATTTTTTAATTATGTATTTGTTACTGATAATGTGTTCTGATGAAAAATACAACATTTTATCGTTCTGTTAACAAATTGATTAAACTATGTATATACACGTCGCACGAAACTGGGGACAATTAGAGTAACATTATGGCGTCAAAATACCAAAACAATACAATGGCCAGTATAGGGCGCAATCAGCATTATAACGTCAAAAAAGACAAGCGTTACATTTTGTCAAGTTTAGTCAACCTAAAAATAAGATGCTTTATTCTTATTCAATCCTGGTGAAATTCACAGAGCAAGAAGATCTCGAAGACAATATTTCTAAAATGTTTTTGATTTTTGAAAAACGGTCAGGAAATCCACTCGGGGCGTTAGTAAAAATTGATATGTATGGGATTTGTGGTAAAAAATCGATGCGTTACATTTTTTCAAGTCTCTAAAAGCAACTCTTATTCTCTTATTATTTGAAAAATGAAGAAATCGGTTATTGTTTTGTAAATTTCGCCATGACAATATTGTGCATTTAAATTTTTTTTGAAATCAGACCTAAATTAGTGGGTTAAATAAAGGTAAACTTATTGCTTGTCTCCCTCGCCTTCAAAACCTTACACAATTTTGAAAATCTTAAAAGCGTTCATATAAGACGATTTGAACTGTAGCCGCTAGGCAATTGTGACGTCATAAAAGCAAATGTTTCAATGAATAAAATGTGAAATTTTAGTAAAATTCTGATCAGTATTTCAAAAGTTATCCTGATTTCAACGAACCGTGTAAGCGTGAAATGTTACGCCTTACAGCGTATTTGACGATGTCGGAGTACATTTAACTTAAAAAATATGGTAGATCCCATCACACTTTTCAAGGAAAAATAATTTCAGTGAAATGCGAATAAAAAATACTTAAAAATGATATATAATGCATATAGTTAGCTTTTTAAATAAGGCAGATATTAACGCTTAAAGCTGAGATTAGCCCGTATTTCCCGAATTGTCCCCAGGTCCGTGCACGTCATAATAATGTTTATGTGGCGTTCGATCATTGACTCATAACAAATCAAACTACGCATATTTCATACGCTAAATATGCATACACATTTCCACTCATTTATTTAGATGAAGCGCAACTAAAATCATATTTTTGTTGCATTTACATTCGGAATAAAGATTTGTGTACAAAAGGGTTTGGTTAACTACAAAAATCATGGCAGAAAGAATACTTTCTAGCTAGTGGTAGTTGGTGTTTGGACTGATTACACGCAAGCTTACTTAGATAAATATGCGCAATAACCTGATAACCACAGACCTGCCGATACCTATTTATATTCGGGTTGGTGAAGGAATATTACAGGGACAGTACAGGAAGACTTCAATTTTTCAGCATTTCCCAATAACAATAACGGGAAATTTTACGGTAGTTTGAACAAAAATACTGTTGATTTTAGCAGAAATACGGTAGATTTTCGAAAATTTACGGTAGATTTTCAAAAATTTACGGTAGATTTTACGGCCGTTCTCATGGAATAAACGAGTTTTTTAAAAATAAAATTTACGGTAGATTACGAAAAAAATACGGTAGATTTTTTTACGGGCGTTTTTACGGAAAAAATGGTATTTTTTACGGTAGTTTGTCATTTTTTACGGACAAACGAAAAATTTACGGTAGATTCCCGTAAAAATACGGTAGGTTGGCAGGTATGAGTAAGCACTGAACTATAAATTGGAAGCAAGGGTCTCGCTACACACATTTGTTTTGATCTGTTTGGTAAACACGTTTATTGTTTGTTGCCCACACCTCGCAAGAAATAAAGTGTTCAATGATGCATCATGGAATACGATGTTGTCGTTCTATTTTAATGAAAGCTCGGGGGAAATGCGTGTTGTCCTCATGCTGTCGTTCTAATAAGTCCATTCATAAAGTAAAAATACTTGATTCACCAAAATGTATTCACTTCAGGTATCGACTATTGAGTTTTGTTTACAATAGGCTGTTAGACTCACCGTTGAAATAACCCTATTTGCCCTTCTTACTTTAGGCAGCTCCCTAAGATAAATAAATACTATACTGTAAGTACGTTATAATATTCATTTTGTTCACCCTCCTTACTTTACGTTCGTCTTATCCAAATTACACGGCGCGGTAGCCAAACTGCGTGCATAATATGCACACATTTTGATACACTGACAAACTTCACGCATATCAACATTGCATCATACAAGTTGGAGTCTGTGTTTTCAAACGTCATTTTAAGACATTTATTCTGCATTGATTTATAGTTTCATACGTCCAGTCGATGGTGATTATATGATTCTACCATATGATAGCGAAAACTATATGCAGATCAAAGTTGGTCTTAAAATATAAGCAGATAAATAAGGAAATTCAATCGGTTTTTCGATTACCGACACATAAGTTGATGGAGTACAATGCAAAATATTTCGTATTAAATCAGATGATCATGAGAAAAACAGACATTACCAGTATATGACGCAACACTGTATATTTTGAACACGAAAGCTCATTAGGAACCTTATATTGAGATAACTATAGGTTTACATCGGGGAAATAAGAAGGATACTTCATTCGATATATATCCGATGGGCCAGTTGACTAGATGCAAGTAGAAATAATTTGATTTGCGTCATTAATTAATTATTCAAAATTTAGTCAAGTTGATGTCATGTTTGAACTCCACACGTAAAATTACACCCAGCATTGTGATTTGTGATTTAAAAAAACTATTTATCAACTTTGAAAGGCTAGATTTCTTAGAAGTGAAATATATATGTTCTTGTGTTTGTCAGATAATGTTTTCTTTTACTAGGCATATTTTCATTTATATGGTTATCAGACACAGGAGGGTGTATTTGAAAATAAATCCTCTTAAACTGATGAATACTCAAGTTTGTTCAAGTTAAGGGAATTTTCTACTATAGCTGCCATGTTATCTGACCTAGACCTAATAGTGCTGGTTCTGATAGTTAAAATGATAAATAAAGTTAAGAACTCTCCACTATAGTAAACTATAGTCCACAGCATTCTACAGCTCCTATGTGATCTACATGTACTACTATGACTTTGATCATTTTTAGGATTTCCTGCTAATCTCACCATCAGTCCGACTGGTGAGCCGTGCAAGATTTTTGCAAACTACAGTTCATCCAGCAATGCTACAGAATCATGCTCCACTGGCTATGACTATATCCGACATAGGAAGTACATGGATTGGCAGTTAGAAGAGACTAATATAGTAATGAAGGTAAGACTAAAACTCCGAAAAATAGATTGCGATGAAAAGTAAGTGGGAAAACAATTTATTAAGAGTGGTGTAGATTTAAATAGTTGCTACCTATGACATGATGAGATGAATATGTTGCATAACACACCTTGTAAAAATCAGTGATATTTTCGGAAAGTTATTAGACTTTCTCGAACTAGCCATCACACCTTGAGTATAATATGGATTGACATCTTCGACTGCTTCCAAGGTGTTATGAAGTTGGAGCAACTGAAACCTTGTGAATCAAGATAATGGGTTGATAAATACTTGGAAACAGAAATCATTATTTTAAGTCAATCTTTTAAAGCAATAACATCATGATATTCGGCAAAATGAGCTTCTTATACATATTTTTCCCGATTACTACCAATTATCACGACTAGATGTTCGTATCTTACTTGCAGTGGGACCTCGTATGTAGCGAGAAGTACAGAGTAAGCCTAGCAACCTCAATATATTTCGCGGGTGTGATGTTAGGGGGACTTGCGTTTGGGACGATATCTGACCGGATAGGACGAAAGGCCACGGGATTGATTTGTTTGTATGTACCCGTCCTGCTTGGCGTCATGGTCTTCTTCGTGGATAACTACATACTCTTTGTTATTCTCAGATTCTTCATAGGATTTTTCATGCAAGTATGTGTAAAATTTATTTATTCAAATAGTCAACCTATGCTATACTGTATATAAATAATCTGCTCTTTGTATTTTAGCATTTAACATAATACATCCCTATCACATTCTCATTCATTGTTATATCAAGAAGAGAAATATAAATGTAAATAATTTTGACATTTTAACTGGAAATTGTAAATTCAGGCGTCATGACGTCATGCACATTCAGACCCAAACAAGGGTCATCCAACTTGATTTGTATAATTTGTAAAAGACAATGACATTCGAGTTACTCTCTTTTTCGATGTTAATATTTACCAGGGACTGCAAACGGCTTCGTTCGTGCATTTCACGGAGTTTTTCCGAAAAGGTACGCATAGGGCATACGTTTGTGCCACAATGGAAGTAGTCTGGTCAATTGGGGTCATGCTCCTAGCTGGGATAACATTCCTTATAAGAGACTGGCGATATATTGAACTGGCTATATGTCTTCCTCCTCTGATTGCCTTACCTTATACATTGTAAGTATATACTGCTATGACACCATTTGACAGAATACAGTTTGCATGAATTTTATGGCTTTTGAATCAATGTTAAATACACAACAAATCAGTAAATGAAATATTCATACTGTATTCACTGTAACCGATGTTCCATGTTCATTGTGAACAGGTGAATTTTCAAAATTTGCCCTAGAACACTGTTTCTTGTTCCTAGTTCCCGTTAATACGTATGTCAATGGGAAAATATTTGATATTTCAAAACTGGTCCTTGTAAACAGGCATTCCTTACATATTGTAAGTAGGTAGAAATTGTAATAGGTCTGTGGCGAAAAAACTTCTGGTGAAAAAACATCGGCATTTTTTCTAATTTTTCAACAATTTTTAAAGTAAATTATGCAAAATGCACATATGGTTGATAATCTAGGAATTATTAAAAGCTCTGAGGCAAGTCTGTAAAACACAATGAGAGATATATAATTGAGACAGAATTCTATATTTACTAAATACTTTGATCAGTATGGATTGAAAGCGCTGACTCTTTTATACCCTAGACAATATTTTTGTTGCAGCTTTGTACCAGAATCTCTTCGATGGTTGATTGCCAGCAAAAGATACAAAGAAGCCGATAAAGTTTTGAGAAAGGCTGCCGAATTCAATAATATAACTCTATCAGAAGATCCACTAGATTTGAAAAACTACAATGCAAAAACAGAAGACCCTGCTGAGGGAGAGAAACATTATAACGTTTTAGATATGTTCAAAACTCCGAAACTCCGACTACGAACCTTTGTCTCCTTTTACGTTTGGTTAGTATGTTATGCATTGTACTCAAATAGCCACGCATTATCAGTATTTCGACCTAAATATCCTCATTAATATATGTAGCTTTTTAATTAATAAGTGGAATTCATCTTTTATAGGATGGCTACCTCATTAATTTATTACGGACTGTCCCTTAATGCATCCGGATTTGCGGGAAATAAGTACCTCAACTTTTTTGTCAGTGGAGCAGTAGAGCTCCCAGCCTACGCACTTGGTATATTCATCCTGAGCAGGTAAATGTTAGAATATAGTTTCGAGTAAGGATATCAGCGATTACCGGTTATTTGGTTTGTATGGTAAAGTAATAAGACAATTTTGATTTTTCTTATCATTAATAGTATATTCACTATTCGATGCTAGGTCTATGGGTTTCTATTTAGACTTTGTTAATTTTTTAGCTTCCAGCGTCTTTTATACATCATTAGTAATAACACAATAACTTTACGTTCTAGATTTGGGAGAAGGATTCCACTTTGTATTTATCTACTAATAGGAGGAGTGGCTCTCATCATTGCTGGGACCATTCCAAAGACCACAAGTATGTATATCATGTAAATGCAAGTCTTTTTTTCAATGTCACTACATCAAGTCATAATCTAACATACTAGACAAGTTATTTGACAGGCTCTTATATTGTCTTAGTTGTGTATTTTATCTTTATTTTAATGTTATTTTCTTTACCAATATCTTAACCCGGTTTGTCAGTGGGGTTAGTTGGAATACATTTGAAGTTGATAGTGATGTTTGGATCTGCAACTGTTCCCCATCACGTAGTTTCTTTTCTTTCAATGTTATTTCAGCTTCTGGTGGCGTTATAACTGATATCCGATGGGTTGGCACCATGCTTGCTTGGATAGGCAAGTTCAGTGCCGCTGGTTGTTGGAGCGTATTGTTCTTGTACGGCAGTGAACTTTATCCTACAGTTATTAGGTTTGTGAATGTATTTTAGTAATAGGAGTGCAAATGATTACAATGAAATCACAATGAAACAAAATTTGGCAATGTAACACAATAGATAATCAACCGTATTCAAAAGTGTACAGGGTGGTCCAAGAAATCTTCAGAATAATAGAAGTCATACTGCTTGAATGATATACCACTTGATAAATGGTATTTCTTCCTGAATATCAAACTGTTCTCCTTTTCACACATCCTTGTATGTGATGTACTGCCGCTAGGCACCATCACTAAAGCTGAGTGAAACGGATTTATAAGGTTACTTCTTTATCACCACATCTCTTAATTAGTCTTGCATCAAACTCTTGTGTAACATCGCATTTAAAGTTACGGGGAGCTGAGGTGAATGCAGAACTGCTCGGCTTAAATTTATGTTTTTTATTCTTTGTTTGTTTTAAATTTAAGGAATGTGGCGGTTGGAGCGTGTGCTTTTTGGGCAAGAGTTGGTAGCCTCATTGCCCCACAGATACTCTTATTGGTTAGTGTTTATAATACTTGTACAAGTAATACAATAAAAAATATTATCGTATGATCTGTAAAATGAAGCCCTCTGATTGGACAGTTCTTGTGCTGTACCAACCTGTATTGCTACTGAGATTGTTTCATCATCTCCGTCGCAATACAGAAAATATTGGTACGGAGGGGACAATCTCAGTAACAATACAGAGGATCACACGATAAAAACGTTATTGAATGATTTGAAGCATCATGATAATCCATGACATCTCATTTCTTCTCAGCCCTGAGATGTTTCAGGTGAAACAGAAAGATGCTATGAGTATCAGAATGGATTTGAAGTGCAATACAGGATATATTCTGTCTAGATATTGTGTATTGGCACTTGACTTCGTCTCGTTCCAATACGGAATTCTCGAGCAGAATATATCCTGCATTGCACTTCAAATCATTCAATAACTTATAAACAAATAATGGACTGAAAATTCAGATCTAAAAATAGCAATACGATGAAGGAGTATGACACTAGATTATAGTAAACTATTCTCAATAGAACACAGACTTTTTGTATACTTTTATTTTCAAGGTTTTTAATTATTGGAGCTTATGTTTAAAATACACCTGGATAAATAATTCAATTTTCAATTAGATGATACATAACGTAACTTTGAGTTGTGTCGTTCTCGCCAATCGATCCTTTTGAATCTGTGGGAGTTCGACCCATCCCCTTGATTCTGTTGAAATACATTCAACATTTTCTTTAATTATCTATTTGAAGGGTGACTATTACTTCACAGAGTTGCCTCTGATAGTATATGGCAGCGTTGCCATATTAGGAGGCTTTTTGACGCTGCTATTACCCGAGACTCTGCACTCCAAGTTGCCAGACACCATTGAAGAAGCTGAAGGTATCACTATGAATGATAAGGACAAACATGCACTAGATAACAGTGCATACAAACCTGATGACGATAATACTAAATTCTGAGTGAATGATAAAGATAAAAGCACATTACATGACCACTTTTTGTGGGTTTTAAAAGAAATGGGAAAGAACATCACAGCTTGATATAATAAGGTGGATATGTGGAGAGAAATCCAACATTTATTTAAGTAATTTGATACTCTACATATTTTTAGGAGGCTCGATTAAGCATTGTAATGAGTTTTTCAATATTTATTTTTTATATTGTCATTGTATTATAAACACCTTAATGGTGTTTAATCTGAAATAAAATTGATAAAAATAAATTTTAAGATGAAATAAAAAAGATAAAATCTTCTGTTGTAGATCTAATCTAATCTAATACAATGTGATAACTAATTCTTGTTTCCTTGCCTGTAATTGTTTTTTATGACATTGAAACGACCTAGTCAATCCTACAAGTTTTACAAGATTTTGGGTAACAATACTGTACCTCTAATGTTACATGCATCTCCGATATACCAAATAACGTCGGAGCTTGAAAACATAAAAAACACGTTGATGAACCATACAGTGTCCAACATGCAAATTGGAGTTGAAAGTCAAAGGGACAGAAAACCGATAATAATGTCATTGATAGTAAACCAAAAATGTTATGTCTTGAAGCTTATAAACATTCCTCGCCTAACACGCAAGTAAAATGATTGTTTCAGATTTGATAATTACCACAGGCAATGGAACATAGAAATAATCCCCCCCACTCTCTGTACATAAGTAAATAAAATTATTTACTTATGTACAGAGAGTGGGGGGATTATTTCTATGTTCCATTGCCTGTGATAATTACTGTTAAGACAGGCCATGCCAATATAAGTTGCATATCATTATTAATCAAATAGTATAGTTTTGTATATGTTTTTCCAAGTCCATCCATTGTTGTAAACGACTGAAGTATCCTATTTACATTTTCCTAGTTTTAAATTTTTCAATATTTATAATAGTATTCCAAGGTACAATATGGTAATACAAGGTTTCTTCTCTTGAAATATGATATGTTTGTCTCATCTTTGGTGATAGGAACTACGAGTGATGAGCAACGAATGAACACGTCTATAGGGAGCAACCATATAGTTCCCATCTTAGTGATATCCAACCGTCCCACGCCTGAGGCAATATTCGTACCTTCCGTGCATAAATAGGACAATGGAAATCATGTCTTAGGAGAGTATCCCGGTCCTTATTCCCATCAAATCGCTGTAAAACAATAACAGCTGAAGAAAATGTGTTGTATATTATAACTAAGGGTATGATAGAATGCTTATTATACAACTCAACCCCTGGAAAAATCAATCCCTAGACATTGTAGACAACCTAACCCCTGGACAACTCAATCTTTAGACAATTCGAGCCCTGGACATCTCGACCCCTGGAAATTCAAACCCATCATTCCCCGGAAAATCATCCTTTATCATAGTGCATTTTTAGAAACAAAAAGAATGAGCGGGGCAGAGAAAGAGTTGTCCAGGGATTGTGTTGTCTAAGGGATGATATGTTCAGGGGTTGAGGTGGCCAGGGATGACTTAGAGTATCCTTCACATAACAGCATAATGAAACTAGAAACAAAAATTATGGTATAGAACAAAATGTTGCTGAAGAACAATATATTCAATATATTCGTGATTGCATCATTTACGATGGATTCGCAATGAGCCATTCTATGGAGAAACAAAGTGGTACCATTTATCATTTAGCATAATGTGCATCGAGCTTTACACGTATATGAAAGTGTATTCAGGAATTGCATGCGGCAATCCCGTTATTAATAATGCAGTCATTTGTTTTGAGAATAAAAACAACATACTAGTAATATATAGGCTTTGTTAACAAATCAGACGATAAAAAGTTGCTAATAGAGGAAGAGTTGTAAAAAGTTCACATTGTGTAACACTCACATTAAAACACTCGAAATGTTTACCATCGGAACTATATGAAATGTCATATAGTGTGGTCCATTGATTATTGTCATAGCGTCCTTTTGTCGCAACGCCCGTCACTCGATGTGTTGAACCAAAATCCACCTAATTGTTAATTAAATGAATCAGATCATTACGTTGAATCTTTTGGTTTAAAATAACCTATAAAACATACCTGTCAAGTAAAAAAATATAAATCGGAATACTTTCGTTTTAAAAACCGGGAGAAGTCGGGATTTTTAAAGAAAAATCGGGGTGAAAATCGGGAATTTTAAAAGAAAAATCGGGAGAAAATCGGTGTTTCTATAAAAAAATCGGGAGAAAATCGGGATTGTTTAGGATAATCTGAAGAAATCAGGAGTTTACAATGAAAATAGGGAGGAAATCGGGGTTTACGAAAATAATCTGGAGAAGATCGGGAGTTTAAAATGAAAATCGGGAGGAAATCGGGCCGGGGTTTACGAAAATACTCGGGAGAAAATCGGGATTGATTAGGATAATCGGGAGTTTACAATAGAAATCGGGAGGAAATCGGGGTTAACATAGGTAAATTGATAAATAGATTTTCGAATCGCATTTGGGCCGTTTACTATCTTTGCTTATTAATATATCTATGAGCTATCATCTGCATTAAACCAAGTAACACATCATAATTAATTAATGTGAATACCAGAAATAATTATGTAATCTTATCCCGTTCCCGGACTATAGTCCTGCACTGATCGCATTCATTTGCCTGTACGATTACAACTTGGGAGAATTATCTACGCCCCTTACACTTAAGATACCTACCTCAATGCATTATAGAACTCAAAATGTAACTTCTAATATATTGGAACCGCCGATTATCTGGGTATATCGGCAGAATGGGAACATTTTCTCTTTTTCATCGAGAGAGATTCCATCACTTTTCAAAATGGCGGTTGGATTTAAAAGGGGAATCCCCCGTTTGGCTGTCCCGGATGTAGCCCGGAAGTACCAATATGGAGGAATTTGACGGTTGAAATAAGTTAAATGTTACACGCAAATATTGCGATCAAAAACGAAAATGTCTTCGTTCTGCCGATAAACCCAGACAATTGTGGATTCAACTACACGAAAAGAATGCTAAATTACCAAGGAATCTATTGAAGTAGGTATCTGAAGTGTAAGATCAGTAAAAAATTCTCCCATGTTGTAATCGCACAGGCAAAAGATTGAGATGTTCACAGGACCATAGTCCGGGAACGGGATAAATGTAATCTACATCTAGTCCTCACACAATCAATTATCTTTGTGATAAAGCATGGATATGTGTTTGACTGTTTGTGTTATACATGAAGTCAAAGAATACTGTCAATAAAAACGTATCTATGCGTTCATTTCGTTTTATCACAAAAATGCTTTTGCATATTTGTTTTCACTACGTTCCAACTTTCCTTGTAATGTCTCCTATATGCGTTTCAATTGGTCAGAATTTTTCAGTCCCAGAACGTTCGATTTATTTCTGGTCTAGAATACTGTAGTTAAAAGTAGATGAAAGAGCTTTACAAGTGTATTTTGTATTTGTATAGCTACCGTATTTTGTTTTATCACACAACCTGTCGTATACTTTCATTTTTTGCGAGGGGATCTCATTAACAAATCGGGAGTTTTGAACGAAAATCAGGAGGGTACCATTTCAAAATCACTGAAAAATCGGGATGTCTCGTTAACAAATCGGGAGTTTTGAACACAAAATTGGGATATTTTATGAAAAAAAATCGGGATAATTAACAATAAATGGATTTATTTTCTCGGGATATTTTACAAAAAATCGGGATAAAAATCGGGATTTTGAAAAATAAATCAGAATTTCTCCCGACTTTAAATCGGAATTTGACAGTTGATATATAACAGTATAATGGAGACTAATTCTACCAGATATCATCATGGGCTTTCAATAGACACATACAATTTGACAGCATGCTGTTAAACTGTTAACTCTGCAACTTCACCAGGGCATGATCATTTTTGAAGATTTTCTCGTAAATATATTTATTTTCTCTTACCTGTAACCACTGATGTCTGTTTAGCGGACCTGCAGCCCAGGCACCTGGAAAGCTTATTGTTTTCAGTCTCGAACGAGCTGGAGTATGATCAGCCCGCCAGACTGACGAGGCGGAAAATGCTGAATCAGGGACTGTCGGAAGTAAAGCATTCTGCAACGGACATCCTGTATATGAACATATAAAAAACACTTAGGGTCGGGAATCTCAGTTTTTTATCAACTATTTAGATATAGTAGTTGAGAAACCACAGAAACAAAATAATAAACGTTTGTATGCAGTTTTCCCGAAACCACAACATGCCGAATCCTGGAGAGACTGATGCAGAACTATATTAGTGTCCGTATCTCGAAAATTATATATAATAAGAGTATGATATTTCACTTCAAATGAAACCTAACTGCCAATTATCATTTTAGGTCACATCAAGGTCGAGAATCAAAATGATGGCACAGCCGCTGACTGGACATCCGGCAGTGCCTTCCATATTCATTCATACACAAAACGTCAGGAAAAGATTTAATCCTCCAGAGTATCACTTTATTTAAAAAGAGAAGTAAATCATGCAAAAGCCCAGCGCCATCTTATTTATCTACCCTCCAGACATCACTTCACCAAATAGATCAAACTTCTTCATCTCATCAATCAAATCAAAAATTCATCAACCCCATTCAGTCTTGTGATGATGTGATCTTTTTGGCGAAATTTGCTTTATTTTGGCCACATTTACACAAATCGTCCTATCTACCTTTGTCGGGGCTTTGCTTGCGTTGAATGTTATTTATAAAGCACTGAGTGCCAGGCTGCGTTGGGCAGACGGATGCACTGCGGTTATTCTAAATTCAATTTTTTCTGTACGGTAAGTTTTCCGCTTACCAAAGATCACACGAAGATGTAACTGTGTTAACAGTATTTGAATCTTGATAACAGTGCGATGGTACTTCTGATTCCCTTGTTTAAATCGGTATATTAGGGACAAAATTTGACAAAACTGCATTTTTGGTGACAGATTTCGTGTCTTGTCTGTGTTCATGCTAGCACCCCAGTCACATTTCCTACGGCGACCTTGCGGTTTATCATTTCTGCGGCCAGTAGGTTTTCTACGTTCGCCGCAGAATTTCTGCCTCAGACTTTTGCAGTCACATTTTCCACGGCAGCCGCACGGTGAATTTTAAATTTCTGCTGATAAATAATACTTTTTTCATTTTATTTACATCGGGACAATTTATAAATGTTATTCATAGTGCTAGGATGTAATATCAAATGAAAAGTGATCGTGAAACATTGACAAATAATGATTCAATCTTGTTGAGCCAGTTGATTTCTACGGGGACCTCAGAAATGAACAAATATTATAACTCCGAGTTATAATTTCTACGGCGACCTTGCGGCCTGTAAAAAACTGGATACGCCGCACGGAGGCCGCAAGGCGAGCGTAGTTTTTCTACGCTCGCCGCAGAAATTCACTGATTTAATTGATCTGCGGTCGACGCACGGCCTCCGTACGACAAATGTGACTGGGGTTTTAGCTATTGGACGGCCGGGAAACACGAATGCTATTGCAGGTGGAGTGTATGTATGATGATAACCAATGGGACATGTTTGCTCTTTTCTAATTTATCCAAAGCAAATAATTTACCCCAAATTAAGTTTGGAATTACCGCCATTGTACAGCAATAATATGTTGTAACCTCGTTTTGAATTACGCAAGTCGCAGTCTGCGGCTGTGCCATCGTTTTGATTCCCCACCGTGCACATATACTAGCTGGAAAAAGAGCAAATACCTGCACTACTTTATAGAAACAACCAGGCGGTAATTTGGGGAAAAAACTACCCATGACGTAACATGACGCCATACATGCATAGTAGGCTATACGAGGGTTGTCCCAGAAGTAATGCACTATATGCTCCAACTTTATCAATAATTGATATTTTCCCATGAAAGGAGCATGTAAGGTATGGCAAGCCATTTTCAAAGGGCTATATCTTTGGTTCGAAGAATAATTTAACCACAAAATCAAATGGTTCTGTTAGATCCATGTCTTATCTTCAATAAATGACATGAGGATGATAATCAAGTTGATTGGATTATCTCTTAAGCTGTCCCTAATCCACCCATCCTCACCAATTTTCCCTAATTCTGACGCAATTTTCACCACAAGTGCAGGCCTTTTTAATAATTTTTAGTGCAAAGTTGTATTGAACTTTCAGACATGATTTAAACTGTAAAGGGGAAAATTTAATTATGAACCTACTTTTTAGTATTTTTTTTCGCGATTTTTTGTATTTTTTCTGATATTATAAGGTGCTTCATACTTATATTATACAATTACAAAATAGAGGGCAGCTAAGTGTCATAAATAATTTTCAAACACTCGGATAGTGACTTACTCAGCCTTATGAATTGCCTTAATCCTGTATTTTACCTTGTATTGTTTGTGTATAAAACAGTTGTGTCATTCACGTAGAGCTATTTATATACTGAATAGTTCTATGTAATTACATGTGCCTGGTTTTGGCTATTCAATCTAGACTCTTTGTTTGGGCAGGCTGAAATGAATAAGTGTGAAAATAAAATGAATTACAGGGTGAGGCAAAAAATGTCATCCAAAGAAATGTTATTAACTCATTCATCTAGTATGAGTTGAAATCATATTTCACTGGCATGTAGCGATTATAGCGATACTGGATACTTTACTGAATTGTGTCGAAGTTAGACGTGTGGTGCGGAAGTTAATATGCAGATGACCATTATTTCAATGTTATATTGTTTGTAGGCAAATTGAGATTAGGCCATTGGAGTATTTGTTTCACGCATACATAAAGCATAACGCATTCAAGGGTCACATTTATCATTAAACCAATAACTCAAACATATGACCTTGTACACCGACCACCTCTTGAAATCAATGCAGGCCGATTTCAACGAATGCAAACGGTGATATATAAAAGAAACATAATCAAGCATGACCACGTCCCAACTTCTTTTGTTTTCTTTACAACTAATGCCTAGGTCACATAGCCGCCGGGCGCCGGCCGATGAGTAGTCATCGGCCGATTTATAAATCGACCGGGCGCCGGTGACTTTTCACCGATGTCTTGATCTAATCGTGAGTATGGTCACATCAGTACAGGCATCGTACGGCGCCCGCAATCAATTGAATCTGAAAGACATCGCACGGGTATCGCAAGGCTATCTGCCGATGGCCGTACGGCACCCGCCAGGACATCGGTCGATCTACAGGCCTCTAGATTTTCACTAAATTCTTGTATGACCCAGTTTGACTGTTCCACATGGCATGAATGCAAGATTTGAAAACGAAATACTTCGATAGACAGGACTTCCAGGATAATAATGTTTTCATGCAATAAAAATCAGAAAAAGATCCTCTAAATAGGTTCAATATTTAGAAAAAAATGCTGACATGGGGTCCCTATTCATAATTTTTCAAATTGTTTGATTGATATTTTTACTATCATGGATACTTCAATTAAAAGAAAACATATTGTTTTAATAAAACACTGTATTTATGCCCAGAAAGTACTCATGGTGAAAGATATGACCGTCTAAAATCACTTGCCATACTGCACGTGGTCTTTTCATCATCAAAGTGCACCCTGACCTTAATTCATTTTTAGATCTTTCATATAAACAAATGCTATGTCTACCTGTCCATCCGATGCTATTAGCAAAATTCCCTATTTCTGCATCTTTCTTTCGTCTGTTCTCGTAAATTTGTTTGGTCATAAAAATATGGCCTATCATAAAAAAATTGGCAATTTTTTCTTTTATTTCAAATGGAAAACCCTCTTCCCTAGACACATCTAAATCTTCATCATCCACCAGTTCACTAGCATTGTTATTGTCTTTTTCCACCTGTCTTCCCAAGGCCTTCCTCATATATGGTCCATTGGCCTTATCCCCTCTATCCCTAGCCTTTGGCATATTAACTGTAATTGAGACAGTAAACTTTCGTATTAAAATTGTGACCCTTGAAAATACTGTACTCACAAAAACATTCAGAAGATTTTTAAAATAAATGATTTGTAATGGTATATGCATGAGTGAATAATACGCATAAAAAATGTATCACTCTATTCAATGTGTATGACAGACATACACGATTAATGTCAATATAAGAACGACTAGATCAACCTACCCACCCACCCAGCCATTCAAATGTGTGTCATTGTTTTACAGTAAGCCTAATCGTTCCATTTATGTTTTGTAAAATATCTCTGACAGTGTGTAGTAATTATAATTCCTTACCTCATTATTTCTAAAACCGTTATATCACTTTATAAGTAATCATTATTAAGATTTATCAACAAATCAGCACGCAAAATCCCAAAATGACCGTGCGATGCCACCGGGCGCCGTAAGATAATCGTACGATGACCGGACGGGACACGGCCGGGTAGGTACCGATGAGTTTGGTTGAGAAAAAATCGCCAAGACATCGGCAACTTTTATCTCCGCGATAAAGCTCTGCCGGCGCCCGTACGATGTCTAAAAATCGGCCGATGAGTGGCGATCATCGCCCGGCGCCCGTACGATGCCCGGACTCGCCGGCCGATTTTGAACAAAATACTCATCGGCCGGGCGCCGTAGTGAAAATCGGAGCCTATGTGACCAAGGCATAAGCTATGACTGCAGTCTATTCAGTGTTGCGTATCGAACCTTGTTTATTATAAAAATAGTGCAACAACAAGCAGAATTCACACATTTACCTTATACTTATTCTCAACTGAAGACATTGAATTTATCTCTTTAGGTTTTACATTATAAATATCTTAACATGCAGAATACGAAAATAGAGGCTTAGGCCCAACTTTGTATGGATTTTATGAAAATAATCTGATTCTAGAGAAATGAAAAGAAAAATGTCCACACCCTACACAAAATATTTATGGTTCCCCGGGAATACGTATGCTGTGTTGCTTTATATTAGAATCGTATTCCAGTTACAGAAAGAAGTACATATCATGCTAAACTATATACATATATTTATCGTCTATTATTCTTTGACAAGTAGAGTGGAGAATAAAAATGAAAAATTTTAAAAATTTAAAAAAGGAAATAAGATTAATTTTTTAGAAAACTACTTGGTATATGATAAAGCAGATATGCGCGGTCGGTTTGGATATGGGGTTTATCCCTCGTGAG